ACCTCTCTGTTTGTCCCACAGGCAACTTCTCATGGACCTCCTTTAGATCTTTTGGCAGAAAACCGGACCACGAAATACATATTTTCAATTCCGGTTAACGGCAATCATGAGTCAGGGGATTTGGAGGATTCGTGGAGACAGCAAAATGCAAATCGAAGTCTTCGAGGCGACAATCAATGGGTGGGGACGACAATTTTTAATCAAACAAGTGGCGTTATTCCATCATTGTCGTCATCGTCTAATAGTAGCAATCACAGCGTTCCAGCTCCTAGAGGAAGCGCTCGTGGTAGGAGGAGGAGCATACAACGATCATCAGTAATGCCTCCGACTCCTCATCCGCAAGACGACTATTGGGAAAGAACTGAGTTGGGGTGGACTAGGCATCATAACAAGCCTCGACTTCATCTTTATGTTCCAGAAGCGAGTAGTGATGGACCGCAACCGGAAACCCTGTTGCCGCAGCGCCGTACAGATTTCTACGACTTGGATGGAAAAGAACATAATTTAGGACAAATCTACGATAACTGGAGAAGCTCTGAAGTGAATCGATGCCCGAATGGCTCTCGACGATGGATTGGCAAAAATGTTTTTACTATTCGGCTGGCCGCATCAAACACTTCAACGGCTTCGTCTTCTGGCGATTCTTCTTCCAACAGAGTGGAAATTGAGGAGCAGCTTTCTGCACAACAAGGTGAACAGGCTCCATCACAGATAGCTGATGTACCAGTGAACAGAGCTCAGACGAATGTACTCAAGCGCCTTCGTGAACAATTTGCATCGGCAGAACTGGAATCAAAGGACGAAAACACAAGACACCAGAACAAGCGAGCAAAGGTACAACTAAGTGAGGACAATCTGAAGCGGTTAGACTCAGGAGGACGCGCAGCTGGGCCAGCTCGCGAACAAGCCTTCTGGTGCTCCAATCATCTCAAAAGTGCTCCGGTACGCGGATTGTGTGGATTCACCTCAGAGCCCAACGGAGAAACCAGTAATGCGAACGCAACTGCACTAGATCTAGAAGAAGATGCGTGTTTGTTTGATAAGGGGCGAATTCATCCAGCTGCATTAGAAGTACCTCAACAATTCCGGTCGGAAGCCTCTTTGGTGTGCGCAAATGGAAAGTTATTTTTCACTCCTTCCAATGAACAAGTGGAAGCAGACGTTGTAAGGAGCTATGACTTTTCGGTACTCCCGGAGGTAACATCACAAGTTGAAGCGACAAAGAAGCGGAAGTTGGCGGGTTCCTTGTTGAAGGGGGACATGCTTCCCTTTAAATTCAGCCAGCTTCTAAATGGCTCTCCCATCAGAGACAAGCTGAACTCGAAAAATAATCGAGACTTGCACTACATTTGCACCCACGTGGACGTCGCCGAGAACAGGTTACCGGAAACCAAGCTGCAAGGACGATACTGTCTAGTGCGTTGGGGCTCGACGATTTCTCCAGAAGTAGTCAATGAAAGCGAACCTTTCTCAGAAACAACATCTTCCTCATTCTGGATTGCGCGATGTTTTTACGAGATTGGAGAACAAGCTCACAAACGAATGGAGGAGCATACTGCTCTTGCGAAATCCGGGGCAGTAGTGATAAGCGAAGATCTAGTTTACAGATTGGGAATACAGAGTTACTACTTTGCCGCGCTAAAATCGGAAGTAGATGAGGTTCTAGCGCATGAAACGTTTGGTCGGCGCGCAAAACTACGCGATGTCACATCGAAGAACATAGTAACTAGTAGGGTAGTGATTACTATCAAGATCGACAGAGCGAGTGGCGCCATTACAAAGGTCAAATGCAGGTGGGTTTCCAGAGGCTTCCAGGATCGGCGCTTTAACGCGGAACAGAAAAAGGGTGGTCTAACGTGCAGATCGTACACCCTTCATGACGCAACTTTGGCTTTTATGCTGCAAGTTTCTCAGGCCATGAAGCTTCTGCCTACTTTTGGCGACGTTGGCACGGCTTTTCTTCGAAGCATGAAATTTGCAGAAGCCTACGGCAAGGACAACCAGGAGGTGTGGATGACTATACCGAAGAGCATTCAGGATCTCAAATTCTACAACTTTGAAGAAGCGGTAGAAATGATTTCCTGTTTATATGGCTTTAAAGACGCGCCAAGACTGTGGCAACTCACCTTCAAGAAGGCGCTGCAGCTCATTGGTCTACAGCAGAGCAAGGTGGACCCTTGCTTGTGGACTTGTTACGCCACTCCAGCTGAGACCGAGGCAATTGCGGAAAACAAGGCACTAGAGTACATCGTGCACAAAGTGAAGCAGATAGATGCAGTAGACGTCAAGGATATGGACGCTCGAGTTCGCATTCTAAATGAAGGCCCAAAGCATGTGAAGAGGAACTTCATCAGTGAAGTAGCACCCAGTGACGGCCTGACATCAGAAAACGCAGCGGCGCTTTCTGAAGAGCTTTCTTCTCATGTGCAATCTAGTGGTTTGTTTTTAGGGTGTTTAGGCACTCACGTTGACGATACTGTTACCGTTGCACCTGCGCTGATGTATCTTCGTCTCAAGGTGGTCTACGACAGATACGATTTGGGTAGTTTCTGCTGTTTGGAGCCGTGCAGTCGGGATCAGTACATAGGAAGGGAAATAAGTAGTATTCCTGCAGCCTTTGACAACGAGCGTCTTCATCAAGCACTAGATGCTCTCCAGCCGGAACTAGAAAGACTAGATGTACAACTTCCTCCGAACATTCCTAAGAGACCAACAGAGGATGAACTTCTACAAGTCGAGAGGCGCTGGAATATTTCCAGAAATGCCAAGGTTGAGGCTTTTGAACCAGCGAAGAAACTAAAGTACTGTCCGCTGGAAATCATGAAGAAAATTCCGTTTCCGGAAGATCTAGTTCTAGTAATGAGTCAAGAATCTTACGCGGAGAAGGTGCAGCAATTGGATAAGGAAGAGGCGGAGCTTTACTATAACAAACGGGCCACTACAAGTAACAAGTGGTTGCTGAGTCAGCTTCGTTCGCCGTATCGGAAACGCATAGGGGAGCTCATGTGGTTGAGCAAGAGCAATGCAGTCATACAGCAACAGCTGTCGGAGTTGGCATCTCTTGCTCATGTGGTAGAACAAGAAGAAAACGTGAATAGTACTTTGGTGCAATCATTTCTGACAGATCTGAACAATCTTATTCTTCTTAGTCAAGCAGAGCCATATAGTACACGTCGAATTCAACGGCTTGGAGCTCTTGGACAGCATGCACTGGTGGGTATTGCCGATGCCTCAAAGGTGCGCGTTGGTGGAGCTGTGCTACTAGGTGGTTTGGAGGCGGACTCGCTGACGTGCGTATCCACATTCAGTAAAATACCGAAGCGCATTTTTCACAGCTCAAGTGGAATTGAGTTGCTTGCGCAACGAATTCTGCTAGCAGAAGTGCAGTACATGAGACAAATTTGTCTCGATTTGCAACTTGTTGATCTGTCGGCGCCACTGTTGAATCTTACAGATTCTAAGAACCTCCTTGGCGAACCGAGTGAACGAAATTTGGCATCGGACTATCAATACCTTGAACAGTTGCGCGAGGAACGACTTCTTTTTCTTCGTCATGTCAGTGGCAAACTCAATCCAACGGATCCGTTGACGAAATCACCACTGGAAGTAGAGTTGGATCTTCTGTACCTGATGGCCTGTTATGGAATTGTGGACACATCTATTGCAAACGAGGTGAAGAAGTTCATGATCCAACATGTTCCTGGGGAAAAGGTGGTGGTGGACGCGGTAGCCGAACAACGAAAAAATAGTCGGTAATAAAAACCCTCAACGTCATTTGTTCGGCCCGCTTTCCTGAACTCGCTGCTACTCCTATTCCTGGTCCGACCACTGCTGAAGCGGAACTAAGGTGGAAATAGGGTGGGGTGTGAAGAATACCGGGGTAGCAGTATTTTGTACTAAAAATATTTTTGGTTGTTAAAAATTCATTTAGACAATAAAACGCCACTGAACTAAATAAGGATGTTTATTTGTACAACTCAATCTATGTTGGTCATGAAAGAAGAAAAACGGGAGTACTAGTAAGTATGAGTGCATAAGTAATTTTGGGGAATTCACTAGGTGAACAGAGTATTAGCAGACAGGTAATACGTTTTATTCATTAAAAAGAAGTGAATAAATCATTAGTAAAATTGTTCATCATGATATGGTAACATTTAGCCCTGAGATCTCGAAAAACAGACTTTCCATTCTGTGAGTAGACTAACCTCAGGGCACAATTTTGTCGGTCCTATTTAAGCTTGATATTTGTTTAATTGTACACAATCTCAAGCGGTTAAAACGAGTATGAGAGACTATTGGGAGAGAGATACAATTGCGCATAGGGAAATGAACAGTGATGAACAGTTGAAAGTGTTGACATGAAACAGAGAAGAAATAAAAACGTCTGTGTTTTTTTTTTGTGTCCTCTTGTTTTGCAAACCGCTCCTATTTCTTGAACAACATCACTTATTCGTGTCTGAAAAATGCAAAGTTGCAGTTTGTTTGAACGAGTGGATTACTGTCATAAATCACAAAGTCGGTATTTAACCTTCAGTCATTTGTTGTTGTTTGAAATAGCTGCTTTCTGTGCGATAGTCGTGTAATTGAAACTCTCGTTTCTTTCTCATCATATCGCTTTATCGCCCAGCATCATTTGTTGTCAGTATTAATCAGATGATGCTCGTGATTGTAGTAGACTGCATTTATTTCCACAACACCAATCATTGCACTATGACACTGCACAAAAGACATTGGACATTCGATGCATTTCATCGAGCGATAAGTGTGAGGAATGGACAAACATTTTGTGCTATGCCCATGTCATCTTGCCAACCCCTCGTGGGTTGGCTCAAGTCTTTTACCACAAAACAGTAGGGAAACAAGGACAGTTATCCTTTGGGGAAGTATTTCCAATCTGTGTTTCGTTTCGCAAAGTCTGTACTTGAATCGTTGAAACAAAGGTTAGTATGTGAACAGTTAAAGGTGGAACAGAAAGTATATAACACTGTATGACGAGTGAAAAGAGTTTGAGCAGCTATTTGCACAGTTTTGAGTACTGGAAAAGTGGATGATTAAGATAAGACTAGCGTGTTTATATGTTGCGAAAAGTGGTATTTTTGTAATGAAACTTCGGAATTTTCTAGCTGAGTTTCTAGTACTTGTTGGCGGTTTGTGATTCCTGCAAGTTTTTTTTATTTTTTATCTTGCTAGAATTTTTTTGAGATTCTGAAAATTTTTGCTGTTATTGTTAAATGTCGAAGCTGATCAACCGAGCTGCAGAAATTTCAAAAGCTTAACTCTTGAGACCCGCGCCCGTCTCGTCTTTAAGCTTGTAGCACAAATGGACTCGGTTTGGTAGCTCTAACTTTCCAATTTTTGCCCGGTCTGAATTTTTTGCCTGTTAGCACTTCCGTGAGATGATGCAGCGTGTTCTCTGTAGTTTTCTAAAAATTTCGCGCTTCTATAAACTGCTACCACCCCTCCAGAAAATTAAAAAGTCGCACTTTTTGAGGAAATCTCTTGCACATCTGCCACGCAAAAAAAATCAGGCGAGAGGAAACACGAGAAGGGGACACTCCTGATTATTGTCGTTCTGTATTTTTATGCAAAAGAATTTCCCTTAAACCTCTCAGATTTCCTTTGACTCTCCCAGCTGGGCAAAAAAATCACGATGCCCCTCTTTTGTCGGCGCAAATCTATCAAGTTCCGAAATTTTTTTCATCAGCTCACCACTGGAAAAGCCCTAGAGTCTACTGGCTTCAAGTTGGAAAATGGCCCACAAGTTTCTAAATCGTGCAGAAAAGTCCTGGGCAGCACTGGAAAAGTCAGAGGCTACCGATTTCAGTTTGGGGATGGCCTTGAAGTTGTTAAACTGTCCGAGGAATTTCCTAAGCGCCACTGGTAAAAAAATCAAAGCCCTGAAGGTGTATGCTGGGAATGGTCTAGAAGTTGCAGCCTGTGCCTACTTTGTTCCAGTTGCCACAGAATAAAAAGCCCCGGACCAAAAGGGCCAGGCTGAAACATGCGCAAAAGTGCGCCGCTTTCTGGTAGCCTTAGGCAACTCACTCAAGCCAAACCCAACCCAAAGAAACCCAACGAGGCCCAAACCGTGGCCAAACTGAAACCAAAGGCGAGCGAAACCGAAACGAAACGCAGGCCAAACACGGGCCAAACGTCAACCAGCCCCAAGCCGAACCAGGACCAAACGCAAACCGGGCCGAAACTCAAACCAAGACCGGGCCAAACGCAAGCCAAACCCAAACCACGCCCACGCGCAAACGCGAACCAAACCCCAGCCAAACCCAAACAAAACCCACGCCAAACGGAAACGCGAACCGAACACATTCAAAAACCAAGCGCAAGCCGACCAAACCCGCCCGCCGGAAGCCCGCCCGACCTCAAACCAAACAGGCGAGCCCTAAGCACGCCCGGAGCTCGAGACAGGGCCGAAACTCGCAGCATGCTCGAAACCCGGGCCAGGCCTGGGGCTTACGCTGAGCGCGGAACCCAAACGGGGCCGGCTGCGACGCGCTGCGCGTGCGTCTTCTCTGCTCTTCCCTCTTCTTTATCTTGGGTCTTCTGAACCGCAAGGAGGCTGATGCCAGCAGCCACCGCGGCGCGCCCTCGAATCTCGAGCAGCGAGAAGCGGGGAGAGAAACAAGAGAGGCAAGGGGCGGGATTGCATGACGATGCTGCGGCTTTGGCTGCGCGTGGTTCTCCAGTGCTGACCCGGCCGACGCGGTCCCGCCTTTGTTGCCTTCGTCTTCTCTTTTGTTTCCCTCTCGTTTTCCTCTCTTCCAGGAGATTCGAGGGCGCGCTGCGGTGGCTGGTGGCGGGCTGCACCCACTGCGTGCGCAGTGTGTCCCGCTCGGTCTCCTTCGTGCTTGGTTCGCTCCTGAGATTCGAGGGCGCCGCGCGGTGGCTGGCGGTGGGTTATGAGGCGAGTGCAGTGCGCTCCCCGTCTTTGTCTTTCAGAAAGCTCCGGCCGAGCTCTGGACTTCTTCAAGACGAGGAGCCCGCTCGGAGCCGGGAAGCTCTCGCGACTAGAATCCACACGCGGCCGAGGTCACTTTTGGTTTCGTCCATCCGGGGAAGAAGATCCACCTCCCCAACGAAATGAAGCCGCTGCGGGTCTTGTCGGTGAGGGGTCGAAATTGTGCGAATTTGATCAATCGGAGGCATGTCCGTCTGTCATTTTGGAGACACTTAGAGACGGCTCCACACTGCCGCAAGAACATAGAAAAAACCAGAACGGGCGCCGGACTGCTTCGGGACCGGGGGCCCCCCTCGACCCGCCCCGAGGCCTTTGCGGCAGCCCGGTCGGGGCTCATGGGTGAGTATCCTCCAAGCTTCTCGGAAAGCCTGGGAGGCTTGGGCAGAGCCCGCGGGAGCCGCCTCGCAAAGCCTCCGGCAGGCCCGCAAGAGGCCGCCGCCGAAGCCTTGCGCGGGGGTACATTCTTCATCGCGTGGCTAGAGCGTAACTATTAGAGGCATTCGCAGACAGGTGGCTACGTCTAGACTGTGGAGGAATCTGCACACAGAGCGGACGCCGACGCTGTGCGGCGTCGCGGTCCTGATGTTAGAGCAGATGGCCGCGAAGTCCTCCCAATGCCAAGAAGCTTTCTGGCTTGCTTCGTTTTGGGCTCGGCCTGCTTCTGGTCTGATATTGGTAGGCTGCAAGGCTTACCCGCTTCCAATTTTTAAACGCCGGGCGGGGGCACAGGCGGGCAGATTCCTTCTGCCGATGCCCCCAAATTATACTGAGGGGCCTGCCTTCTTTTTTCCTACTGAGGTGGGTGCCAGGCAGGAAGAAGCAGCCTGCTTTTGACTCGTCTCGCCTTATTTTTTTTCTTCGAGTGGCGGACGAGAAAAGCAGGCACAAAAGAAATCGCCCCAGGTTTTTCATTATGCCACCACTGAAACAAGTTCCAAAGCCTACCGATTTCAAGCTAAAAATCCGCCCGGAAGTTCTTAGGCCGTGCGGGTGTTTTCTTAAAGTGCACCAGAGAAAAAACCAAAGCCCTGGGCTCTCAAGTTGCAAAGTGGTCCAGAAGTTGCAAGCCGGTGCCCACTTTATTCCAGTCACCATCAGAGAACAAGCCCAAGACGAGCAGGGCCAGGCTGAAAGATGCGCAAAAGCGCAGCCCATTTGGGTAGCCCTAAGCAACCCACCCAAACCAAACCCACGCCAAAGATACCCAACGGGACCCAAGCTGTGGCCAAACTGAAACCAAGCGCGAACGAAACTGACACCGAGCGCGGACGAAACTGAAACGAAACGCATGCCAAACACAGACCAAACTCCAACCAGCCTCGAGCCGAACCCAAACCAAACCCAAACCAAGCCGAAACCCAAGCCGGGCCCCGACCAAACTCAAACCAAACAAGACTCAGGCCCAAACCTAAACCAAACCCCGGCCAAACTCAAACCAAACCCACGCCAAACGCAAACGCAAACCGAACGCATTCAAAACCCAAGCGCAAGCCGACCAAAACCGAGGGAAGCCCGCCCGGCCTCAAACCAAAGAGGCGAGCCCTTAGCGCGCCCGGATCTCGAGGCAGGGCCGAAACTCGCAGCATGCTCGAAACTCGGGCCAGCCCTGCGGCCCACGCTGAGCGTGAAACCCAAACGGGGCAGGCTGCGGCGCGTTGTGTGCGCGTCTCCTCTGCTCTTTCCTCTTCTTTTTCTTGGGTTTTCCGCGCCGCAGGGAGCCCGCTGCCAGAAGCCACCGCGGCGCGCCCTCGAATCTCGAGGAGCGAAAAGCGGGGAGAAAAACAAGAGAGGCAGCGGGAGGGACCTGGGCGGGGCATGGTATGGCCTGCGCGTGGTTCTCCAGTGCTGACCCGGTCGGCACGGTCCCGCCTGTGTTGCCTTTGTCTCCTCTTTTGTTTCCCCACCCTCGTTTTCCTCTCTTCCAGGAGATTCGAGGGCGCGCGGCGGTGTCTGGTGGCGGGCTGCACTGCGTGCGCAGTGTGTCCGCCTCGGTCTTCTTCGCGCTTGGTTCGCTCCTGAGATTCGAGGGCGCCGCGCGGTGGCTGGCGGTGGGCTATGAGGCGAGTGCAGTGCGCTGCCCGTCTTTGTCTTTCTGGGGGCTCTTCTGAAGTCTTTCGGGCAGCTCTCTCCCGCAATGCTTTTCACCAGTGCGAAGGCTCTCGCGAAGCGTTTGGAGAGCCCTTGGGAAGTGTCTGCCATGCCTCTCGCGCCGCCTTTTGGGCGCCCCCTCGGAAAGCCAGGCGGGCGGTTTTGTGAAGCCTTCGGAACCGGGCATCCGCGGGGCCTTCCTGAAGCAGCTGCCCCGAGACCTTTGCGACAGCCCGTTCGAGGCCCATCCATGGGCGAGCCTTCTCCAAGCTCCTCGGAAAGCCCTCGCGGCACCGCCTGGGAGGCTCGGGCAGAGCCCTACGGAGGCCTTGCGCGGGGCTAGGTTCTTGAACGCCGGGCGGGGGGGCTCACGGGTCGAAGACTTGCGCGGGGCTAGATTCTTAAACGCCGGGCGGGGGCTCACGGGTCTGAGGTTTTTAGGGTTTAAAAGCCCAAGAGCTTGCTATAGGCCCTGAGAGTTTCAGACTTACAAAGGGCCAGCGCCTTCCCTGCGTCCGTTTTCCGTGGGACCCCCTAGCGGGCGGCCTCGTCCTTAACCGGTCCACGGTAGGCCGACGACACGCGCGGACCGCCTTCCGCTTGCTTTCTCCCCAAAAGTCACGGACGCTTGTGGGCTTCTGCGCTGCAAACGTCCAAAAGAGCGCGCCTTTGGAGGGAAGACCCACGCGCCCGGGCCGTCTGGTCCGGCTGCGGGCCTCGTGCTCCAAACCCGACAGCCGGCCCGTGATAAGTCGACGACACACGCGGACCGCCTTCCGCTTGCTTTCTCCTCAAAAGTTCCCCGCCTGCTTTCTCCCCAACAGTCCGACGCTTCTGCGGATTTCTGCGTGCGCTGTAAACGTGCAAAGGATCGCGGCTCCGGAGGGAAGGCCAGCGCGCGCGCCCGCGGCTCGCGACGGCTTTCTAGGCCTCATTGCGGCGCGCGTGGCTCGTTGCCGCCCTTAAGGTGTGGCGCAGCGACTTTTTGCGACTTCACACGGCAAAAACCGAGAAAAAGAGGGACAGCGCGGCACCCGGTCGGGGCTTTCTCTACTCCCGATAGAAGGCGCGCGGCTTTTGGTCCCGTAGGCCGCTAGGAAGGGTGGTCGCAGCCCTCTCCCCCCTGCCCACCCGCTTACCGGCCCGCCCCCTCCCCTCCCCAAATTTTCCCGGCGACCCCCCTCACCCTCTTCCCGCGCGGGCGCACCTCCCCGGAACCGCAAAGAGGCGGGCGGGGCGGCGGCGGAACCGCGGAAGAGCAGCGGCGGGGCCTCTTCCCCTGGCCCGCGGCGGCCGCTTCCCGGAGGGCGGCCGGGCTTGCGGCAGGGGCGCGGGCGCAGCGGCGGGACACTCGACGGCAGGCCGCCGCGCAAGTTCCGCGCGCCGCGCGCCCGGTGCCGCCCATCCACCGCGCCTGCAGCGGCTTTCCGCGCTCAGGGGGGCCGGGCCCTTCCTTTGCAGGCGCGCAGAAAGCGCAGGCGGCAAGCCGCGGCGCTGTGCTTCACCGCTCCGTCGCCACGCTGCCTCCCGCGTGCCGGCTGCCTCTTTTTCGTATCTTGAGGAAACGGACTGCCAAGGGCCTCCCCGCGAACTAAATGCCGCCCAGAGCGAACAAAAAAGGCAAGCCGGAGCGCGAACAAAACAAGGAGGCCCCAGGGGCGGGCAGCAGGAAAAAGCGAGCCCTGGGACAAACAAGAAAGAAGCGCCCCTGGAGGAAAACAAAAAAAGAGCGTAGGAGCGTCCCGGAAAAAATTGGACGCAAGCTTCCTCAAAGGCGGCGTGAGGTACGCTCGGTTCCAGATCAAGCAGCGGAGAGGGCTAGTGGGAAAGCGTCGCAGAGTGAGAAGCCGTTTTCCTTTGTCCAGATTATTTATTCTTTGCCGCGTCTTTACTTATGTCCCCTACTGAGCGCGGCAGCCTCTTCGGCTGTCGCGTTGCTTCGCATGAACGGGTAAAAGACTGCGTGCTCCTGCTTTTCAACATCAGATGGCTACGCTTCAGGGGGACACTTTTTCGTCGATGAATATTTGTGCTTAATTGTATAGAACAAGGAAAGTGTCATGGACTTCGCAGGGGCATCACTGTTGGTACCATCGTGTGACCCCAACAATGGAGAAAGCAACTTGTGGAAAACAATAACCACCTTTTTTCCGGAACGAAGGCCTCCGCCGTTTGTCACTTGGCAGTAGTCAGTTGTAGTAAGCACTGGCAGAAGTTGAAGCACTTGGAGAAATGGTCAACGCCGGAAGTTGATGAAGCGTCCTCACCGTGACATACGGAGCAAGAGCTCCGCTGCATCCTCGACGAGATAGGAGTAGATCACGCGCAGTCTTTGCAAGGACGGAGAAAAATATAGCACGACCTCTCACGACGTGCGGCCAAGAAGCCTACATCCATAGAAGTACGCAACAACATCAAGTACGAGGGACCCTGGCTACCGCAGTACGCAGGTCCATCCCGTCGCACTAACTGTTAGAGAAGTACCAATACCACAGTACACAACAACAGTGCCAGTCAACATAGGCAACTTGAAGATCCAAAAACAAGACCGGAGAAGAAAATGGCGTCTCTTGTGTGGATCGGGGTCCTGATGACCTTCGCGGCCTCTATGGGGGGTACGGCGGGGAAGCAGCTCATACGAGCAGGCGCTTTGCTAGAACGAAGAGCACCAGCTCGCGGTCGCATCGCATCCGTATCTGGTCTAGTCCTCACTACGGTGGTCGGCCCCGTCTTAGACCTGGGAGCTTACATTTATGTTGTATAAGTCGCACTTAGATTCGCTGAAGTCTTATCTTCATTTTTCGTTAGTCTTAGTGATCAAAGAACGGAGCAGATCTACATGGACAAAAGCTTAATGTTGTCTGAGACTAAGTTTACGATGTTGGGAACTCTTTTTCATTCCGTGAGACTTCAGTGAGACCATTTGATCTATCTAATCAGCGTTCGCTCCTCAGTCGATGGTGGCGCCGTTTAGTGGATTAGATGTTGTTTGGAACGCGATGCTGGCGCCATTCACCTTAGGCGAAAAAGTTACGACGCCTAAAGCTGTCGCGATTGGAATGGTCTTTTCAGGTGGAAATTACTTGTACTTCGGATGTGTGGACAAGATACACATCATACTCGTACGTCATTTGTCATCTTTCGGCGTGAAGGTTCCCAATAGATAGTGATGCGTCTTCAAGCGTATCATCAATCAGATTGGTTGAAACAGAAAGGCGTTGAGTGCAGGGATTTTAATTTGAATTTCAAGAAAATGTGATGAAAGCAAATCTTTATCTTCTTTGAAATTTTGAATTTTCAAATTCCGTAAATTTTTGATTTTATTCCATTTATTTCAATAATTGACATCCTGATGCTGCATTGTCACTGAGGTATGAGTCATCTTTCGAAGCGTCTCATTCTAGAAGGACACTCGTTCACCGATCATAGGTGTCTTTTCTACGCTATTTTTCGTGCGACACGAAGAGCCGGACTACACAGCGGACTATATGCGAGAGCTGGTCGTTTCGTGGAGGGCATTCATCTATCTCCTATGTTATGTGCAGGGCTTGCCAATGGCAGTATCTATTTTGCAAGATCCTTTACTTCTAATTCATGTAGTTATGGTTCACCACTTACGGGAGCGTCTGTTCGCTACGTAAGCGACCGACCGACCGGTCACTACTCAGGAGAGGGGCTGTCACCGCTTATAAGTGAGGAGGCGTTCACAGCTTGAGCTAGGTGACATTCACCGCTTGAGGGAGGCGCCGTTCACCGCTTGAGGGAGGCGGCGTTCACCGCTTAAGCGAGGTGTCATTCACCGCTTAGGGGAGGCGGCTTTCACCGCTTATGCGAGAGGGCCTTCACCTCTTGAGGGAGGCGGCGTTCACCGCTTAAGCGAGGTGTCATTCACTGCTCAAGGGAGGCGGCTTTCACCGCCTAAGCGAGAGGGCCTTCACCGTTTAAGCGAGAAGGCTTTTACCGCTTAAGCGAGAAGGCTTTTACCGCTTAAGCGAGAGGGCTTTTGATTCACCGCTTAAGCGAGGGGTCTTTCGCCGCTCCCTTAAGTGCCGCAAATGGTGGTCCCTTCAGTGCTTCAAATGGTGCTCCCTTGAGTGCCGCGAATGGTGCTCCCTTAAGTGCCTCAAGTGGTGCGCCCTTAAGTGCCTCGAATGGTAATCCCTTAAGTGCCTCAGACGGTCCTCGCCTCCTTTACGTGCCTCAGGTGGTGCTCCCTTAACGGTTGCGCCCAGTGCTCCCTTAACGATTTCGCCTGGTACCCCCTTAACCGTTTCGCCCAGTGCTCCGTTAGCGGTTTCGCCTGGTTCTCCCTTGGCGGTTGCGCCCATTGCTCCCTTAACGGTTTCGCCTGGTACCCCCTTACCCGTTTCGCCCGGTGCTCCGCTAGCGGTTTCGCCTGGTACCCCCTCAGCCGTTTCGCCCAGTGTTACCTTAACGGCTTCGCCTGGTACCCCCTTAGCCGTTTCGCCCAGTGCCCCCTTAACCGTTTCGCCAGTGCTCCCTTAACGGTTGCGCCCAGTGCTCCCTTAAGTGTAAAGTGTTTCTCCAAGTGCTCTCTTAACGGTTTCGCCTGGTATTCCCTTAACCGTTTCGCCCAGTGCCCCCTTAACGGTTTCGCCAGTGCTCCCTTAACGGGTGCGCCCAGTGCTCCCTTAAGTGTAAAGTGTTTCTCCAAGTGCTCTCTTAACGGTTTCGCCTGGTATTCCCTTAACCGTTTCGCCCAGTGCCCCCTTAACGGTTTCGCCAGTGCTCCCTTAACGGGTGCGCCCAGTGCTCCCTTAAGTGTAAAGTGTTTCTCCAAGTGCTCTCTTAACGGTTTCGCCTGGTATTCCCTTAACCGTTTCGCCCAGTGCCCCCTTAACGGTTTCGCCAGTGCTCCCTTAACGGGTGCGCCCAGTGCTCCCTTAAGTGTAAAGTGTTTCTCCAAGTGCTCTCTTAACGGTTTCGCCTGGTATTCCCTTAACCGTTTCGCCCAGTGCCCCCTTAACGGTTTCGCCAGTGCTCCCTTAACGGGTGCGCCCAGTGCTCCCTTAAGTGTAAAGTGTTTCTCCAAGTGCTCTCTTAACGGTTTCGCCTGGTATTCCCTTAACCGTTTCGCCCAGTGCCCCCTTAACGGTTTCGCCAGTGCTCCCTTAACGGGTGCGCCCAGTGCTCCCTTAAGTGTAAAGTGTTTCTCCAAGTGCTCTCTTAACGGTTTCGCCTGGTATTCCCTTAACCGTTTCGCCCAGTGCCCCCTTAACGGTTTCGCCAGTGCTCCCTTAACGGTTGCGCCCAGTGCTCCCTTAAGTGTAAAGTGTTTCTCCAAGTGCTCTCTTAACGGTTTCGCCTGGTACCCCGTTAACGGTTTCGCCCAGTGCCTCCTTAACGGTTTCGCCCAGTGCTCCCTTAACGGTTTCGCCCAGTGCTCCCTCAAGTGTTTCTCCCAGTGCTCTCTTAACGGTTTCGCAAGGTGCCCCCTTATAGGTGCCTCACTGATGATTGCCTTTCCCCTCCACAACACCAAAGATTCATACCACTCTGCTAGCCTTCCTTGGGTGGAATATTCTTTGGGTTCAAAGAAAATACAAGTCTGGTGACAATCGGCGCGGCCTCTCTCTTGGAGTTACCGGTGGATTTTTGGCAGGAACCATGTTTTGCGTGAAATTGGTATGGTTGTGGGTAGTAAAAAGTAGTAGAAAGTAGTGAGTAGGACATCCTACGTACACTAGTACCTTGAGCAACAAGTTGTTGGTGGAGATTTGGATTGCTGTGGTGGTGAGTCGTACAAAACAAAGACTACGAATATTTGTTTGACCTAACACTACTCCTATCTGCTCTTCCTGAATTGTTGTTAACGACTTTCATATTCGGTGGGCGAAATTATTCAAGATTGCGCGAATGCATCAGAGGGATTCGGCGATAGGCTGGTAATTTTTTTATTTACACGAGGGAGCTTGTCCTACTTGCAAAGCTTCGTAATATTAAATTTGTTATTTAAAGATTTGATCATTACTTGCACGTGCAGCCTGAGAGGACAGAGTGCACTGATTCATTATTTGCAGCACTGCACCTGTGATAAAACTTTTGTATCGCATACTCCCTCTGGTCAACATCAACATCACTATCTCATACCTCTCGTGGTCACCGTCATCGTCAACATCACCACATACTTTAACATCTTATCCCAAATACATCTGATGACATATGTAATTAACCTCCTCCCATAACAGGACGCTAGTGCTTTCCCCCTTATTTTCACTTAGAGGCGTGCTGCAAATCTTGATTGGCTTTCACCTTTTAGGTGAACGCTTAGGTCCCGCGACGCTCAAAGCACTAAGTAAAGCAGCCGGTTAGTTTTCACCTCTAAAAGTCTAAGCTTATCCCGTGCAACAACATATAACTTAACATCAACCATTACTATCCCCCAGGGCCAGTGGTTCGAGTCTGACGCATTTTTAGTTTTTTCAACCATTACTATCCCCCAGGGCCAATGGTTCGAGTCTGACGCATTTTTAGTTTCGGGGCTAGTCTTTGGAGCTATTTTTTTCAGCGTAATGAACATCCGCTTTATGGCGTTGGGGATGCGGGAGTTTGAAGTCCTCTTCATGGTCACGATTTACGAGGGATCTATTAAGGCTAATGAAAAAACTTAATAAACTTGTTGACTACATCTTGTTCTGTGAAGTTCTACTGTGCTGGTTGAATAACGTTCTGCAACCAAGTAGATGAGTTTGGCCGCCCTAGCTAAGCCTCACCTAGAGAGAAACAGCAGCCCCGACATCCAACGCCAAGTATCTCAAGATCAGGAGACGGCAGTTCCCCAGTATTTGACAGAAAATGTCTGAAGCAAGAATCTTCTAATCCTCTAGTCGTCAGCGGTTGTTTATGCGGAACTTCGATAATGCGGGATTTCGATAGTGCAGAGTGGTTTCGTCCGGTTGGCTTCTATATATGCGTTTTCATAATAGTCGCAGGACTGTACCTCCTCTTTATAGCGCAAATGCAGGTACTGAAGAATTTGTTTGCTGTTGTAGTGCTACTTTTAGCCAACGTTTTTAGGAGATATGCATCTTCTGTAGTTGTTCTTGGAAAAACTGTAGTTGTTCTGTAGTTGTTCTTGGGAAAACTAGGCTACTTGGTCTTTAGCCAGTGAAACACAAGTCATCCGCAACAAACAGGCAACGTCGTCTTTGTTCAACAAGACGGCATCTATAGTGTTGCCAAGCTCGTCACCGTTGCGCCGTGCCGGCAGCAAGCGGACGCGCGGCGGGAGCGCTGGGAGCAAAAGCAAGCTCGGGACACCAACTATTGCTGTTGAAAAAATAACACTAGACAAGCTATTGCCAGACCTGACAACAAGTGCCAGACCATTAGTAGATCCTAGTACTTGTGATCATACCGATGCAAGTAGTGGGGGCAGAGTGGAAGCGAGTACAGAAGCAAGTACAACTAGAGCAATAGCGGATGCTTTGAATATGAACAATATAATCAATTCGTTAATTATGGCTTCTATCGTGAGAGCACCATCCTTGGTTATTTTTCTTAGGCGAAAAGTCGCCAAGAATGGATGCTACCATGGATACGACCAATGAGGTAGCTCTAAGTCAGCCTCTTCTGAGCACGAAGGTGTAATCTGGGCACGACGGCATGAAGACGACCTCCGTGCCCTAGAAAATAAGTTACATCCCCTATATCATGCAGTAGACGTCGACGGCAATCACAACAATGCAGCAGCCATGACTAGTAGTGTGGATGGCAGCGGTAGCGGCTTTGACAATAGTACTGGAGATGGGTATACCTCAACCTCCGCAGATCATAGTGGCAGTGACCCGAGACCACATGAGATGAAAACGAGCTGCCCATCTCCTCCATCGGTCGTGGGGGAAGCTACTAGAAAACGGGAGTCTACTTCATCTAGCAGCAGTAGTTCTTCTCAACAAGGAGAAGGAGATAGAGAACACCACGTAATAGAAGTAAATGATGGACCAACAACAGCAACGACAACAACAATAATACGAAATAAACTAGATCTACTTGTTCAACCTCCTGGTACGAAGAAGGTTGTGGGTGCAGGAGAAGATGAAGCTGGCTGTGGTGCATACGATATGTTATTTCCGACAAGGACTTGTTCCGGAGACGGCGACCAGAGAGGCGATGGGGACGCACTGGATGAGATCGTCCTTAGTGATTTAGCTTCCGGCGATGACCAAGCGAACAACCAGGAGGATATTATGCCTATCTTTCGTCTTTCATAAAATCTAGTCGTGTGATCAAGATCATCATCTTTGAAATTATCAAAATGCTTCGAATCTTCTGCTATGATCGATCGTTGAAAACTCCGGAGATCATCATTATCCGGAGTGGGATATTTCCTGTAGCAAGGGGGCAGTTATAATTGATACTACTTGAAGAGTGAGTTTTCAGGCAGTCTGAAGGGCGTAAAGCTATAGCGCTAACAACAGCATGTCGGAGCAACAGGAAGGAGCTGGATCGAATAGCTCCTCATGGTGGATATTGGAGAATTTCCGCGCACCGTCGCCTATAAAGGTGATGCAATACCCGTTCGCGCTTCATACTCCTCACACCCCCAGCGAAAGACCCAGTCTAGGAGATTGGAAGCTCAACTGATGAGTGGTGGCGTTTCTGTAGTCGAAGGTTTTTTATACGATTTTTTTACAACTGCAGTGCAGTGTAGATCCGACTGTCATTTAGGCAAGGTGCTCAAGAATATCAAAAGACTGGACGAAGATTTTAGCAGCGATGCAGGGATCACGACCAGATCATAAGCAGTAGAACATCGGATTTATTGTCGACACTAGAATCCAGATGCACAGTTATTTTCCCCACTAGAATCCAGCAGACGCAGAGTTTGTATTTGAAACACTAGAATCCAGCAGACGCAGAGTTTGTATTTGAAACACTAGAATCCAAATGTTGTACACTTATTTTGAACACTAGAATCTAAGCAGTCACTTTGACTCTAATACTAGAGTCAATAAGAACGCGGATTTAATCCCTAACTGAAATTAAAAGTTACGACTTCACTTGTTGAATCTTGGCTAAATTGAGGTCGGGCGATCGATCGTCTCTAGCGCTGTCAGCGCTATAAGCTTTGGCGACAAATTGCGTCACCATCTTCAAGCCTTTCATATGGCTTGGCGTCGTATAAGTTTTGAAAACTCGTAGTCCCCTTCTCTGGAGTCAACTATCATATCTGGATCTTGCTTATTGTTGCACAGACACAATATTTTTTTCGGTTTTTTTTCAATTATGGATAGGGTGACAAACATGTCAAATGAGTCTCATTCTCAGAGAAGTACACTTACATTTTCTTGCTTCGTCAAACCATGATGCGTCTGGTTTTAGACTCTGGCATGGTGAACCGGTACCCTTGGTCGTGCCAGGAGTTGGTGGTCTAGAGTCAGTGCGAACACCCACCCCCCCCGTGCACTCTCACTTGAGTGGCTGGGGGATGGGACGCCAAGGGCTGAAGGAGGTGATTCAATTATGATATTTATTTTCTAATTTATTGAACCTTTCTTCCTCGTCTTTGCTTATGATCAGGGACAACTTGGACTACTTATGAATCTTCCCAGCTTATTTTTTTTTTGATACTCAAAGGATGGCTACCAGGCTATTTTCCACAGGCGACCCCTCGTACTTTCAATCCACCTCCCTCTCACATCATACTGTTTGAAGCTATTTGCCTTCGTAGGCCTTCGTAGAATTACATAGTCATACATAAGCCTGTTGAGAGGTGCAGCGGCGATCCGAGAGTCTCTGTTTCGGTAGTGTGGGCGTTCATGAATAAAATGATTGACTGAAGAGTCAGCTACGGCAAGAATGGTCATGGAAGTGACGATATTATGAGCAGTGCTAAGTATCGAGCGGCGGCTGAGCAACTGTTGAGTATGACAGGATACTGGCAGAGTCCAGGGTCACTCACCGACATTGCTAGGTACGTGGAGAACTGAAAAAAAAAACCGACATCAGGTTTTTCACCGACATCACTAGTCACTGTGTTGTCAACTCGTTCGAATTGAATTCTTCCTCCATGATCCGGGTATCAAAAGAAATAATTAAGAAACGGTTTCATTAGGGATTATACAAAAAAGAGACGCAAGGAACGAATGCAATGAGGCTGAATTGACATTCTAACCTTGTTGTCACGAAATCAATGTAAGATCCTGGGTGAGGCGGGTCACATCGGATTCACACATAATTAGTACAACATAATGCGCAAAAAACTCTAATATGACTTGCCAGTCTGAAAAAGGATCCGTTTTTCACGTATAGATGTTTCTCACATGATCAACTTCAACTCCAGCACGTTGATTAATATCCTATGGACTTTTACTAGTTCCTAGAACGTCGAAAGAAGCTGATTCCTCCTCTTCTCTCTCGGAGTTGATGGATTCTTATTAGATCACATCACCACCTTGATAGTTAAAGTACTTAGTTATACTTCCTGCAACAGAATAGAACAAAATCCACTACAAAATCCACAAAATGGTGCTTCGTGAGTTGTCCGTGTCATTGACGGCCTCGTTCCGCAAGTTTGGCGCGCGTCAAAGTGCCCAAGCCGTTGCCGAAGTGGATCAGTTGCTGGAGGAAATGGGGAATGCATTACTCGCTGCCGACGTTAGTGTGCCCTACGTGCAGTTGCTGTTAAGATCGCTTGTTGAAGTCATTTCATAGGTAATTATGTGAACTCATTTGATAGTGACTCAGATAGATAGTTTTCGATATAGTGAGGCTATATGTTGATGTGAACTCATTTGATAGGTAATACTCATTTCATATGTTGATGTGAACTCATATGATAGGGAGGTTTGCTTGTTGAACTCATTTGATAGGTAATTATGTGAACTCATTTGATAGTGAGGTTTTTGATAGTTGTTCGTATTTATAATTCTATTTGTTCTAATCATACGTAAGAATATACGGCAAGAAGTGCTGGATGAGAATGCGATCTTGGAAAATTATGGGGTGCGTGGTGGCTTCACAAAACTGGGATCGCAGCAGAAAGTCCGGATATTACAACGAGGCGTAGTGAAGCATTTATCGGACTTGTTATTAAGGCTTTGGTAATTTTTTTGAAAAGAAGAAATGAGTCAGCGTATCATTTTATCAAGCTGGTACTAGTACTAGAAGCTGGTATTGCAAGAACATATTCATCAGATGCAGCAGTTGGGCTAATTTAATCAATGACCTCTTTGAATCTTCTTCCCCGCAACAGCAATTACGTCAAGATTATTGTTGAAAGCTCGACCTCTAATACAGAGGGGTGATAGAGAACCCTTTGCGCCGCAGAAGAACGTAACTGGGCAGGTGTTACTTTTTGTTGGGTTGCAGGGAAGCGGAAAAACAACATCAATAACCAAGTACGCGCACTACTACAAGATGAAAGGTATTGTTTACGCATAAGAGGCAGTTGATCTTGGTTTCTCAGTCTGCTGTCGGAGTAAGTGATAATATGAACATCATCTACAGCACAATAGTATCATGGCCGCTAGTTCAAGAATTCTACTCAAAAATCCTCCTAGAAGTTGTAGTTTCATTTGTGACTAGTCCTGCCAGGGTGAACGCCAAAAGCGACGAGGCTACAACTACTACATTGTTCCCCAGATGTGAGAGTAGTAGTAGTTGTAGCCTCGTCGCTTTTGTCGTTCACCTTGATGGCAGGACTAGTCGCGACTTTTAGCAGCTACTATTCAACTACTACTCTCACATCTGGGCGGGAACAACTTTTACTAGCTACTATTCGTTCCTCCACCCCTCAACCTCCTCCTTTCAACCTCCGCAATACAGGCTTTCGCGTAGCTCTTGTTTGCGCAGACACGTTTCGTGCGGGTGCTTTTGACCAATTAAAGCAGAATGCGTCGAAGATAAGATGTCCATTTTACGGTTCCTACACCGAGACCGATCCTGTGGTCATAGCAGAGGAAGGCGTTCGCTTTTTCAGAGAAGAAGGGAATAATTACGGCAATCAGAAACCTTGATTTATCTTAGTTATACATGTTGCTGCTGTTCTTGTATCAGTATCAGTGAATATGAGTATAGCATAAGGGCATACCTAAAAGTACGCTGGGGGGCAATTTTTGAATTACAGATCATGAACAACTACAGAGACCGGAACGTCAGCTATGGTCACAGTAGTTCTACAACTACGAGACCGGAACAATTCCGTACTAGCTCTAAAACCAGTACGATTTGATTCTCGTGGACAGCAGTGGCCGGCACCGCCAGGAAGCGGCACTCCTAGAGGAGATGCAGCAGTTGTATGAGGCCGTACAACCTGTGAGTGGCGTCATTCTCGTTATGGATTCCCATATTGGGCAGGCTGGGTTCCGACAAGCGGAGAGCTTCGCAGAGGCAGTGGACGTTGGCAGCGTTATTTTGACCAAGATGGATGACAGTAGTGGCACGAAAAACAAAGGTGGTGGCGCGCTGAGCGCGGTCGCAGCGACGGGTGCGCCGGTTATTTTTCTCGGAACGGGCGAACACTTTGAGGATTTCGAAAAATTCTCTGCGGATGGCTTTGTTTCCAAGCTTCTGGGTTTAGGCGACGTGAGAGGCTTGGTCGACGAACTGAGCCAAAACATGATTGACGTGGAAAGACTCAAATCTTTGGGCGAAGAATCTGCTGACGGCCGCGTGGATGTGTCGAAACTGCAGGACTGCTTTAAATTAAGGGTTGGAGGAGCATTTCATTTCAACGAGCTTGTCTCGTCCCTTGGGATTTGATAGTTTTAGCAGTTAGCAGGATACTTCAGGATACTTGTCGATAGTTACCCTTTTCTCTTTTCTATCTTCCTCTGGTCTGTCTTTTTTCTAGTTAGGTCGGCGCCACCAAAACTATAAGAAATGAATTGCTTCAACCTTGAATCAAAGGAGAACACAAGAATCTGATAGGAAATATTCTGGATGGGAAATTTACGTTGCGAAACCTCTATGAGATGTTCCAGAGCATGAACGGCATGGGACCTATGGGAAGTTTGATGAACATGATGCCTGGGATGATGAACATGATGCAGCAAGGGGTGGATAAGAAGTTATGAGCTGAGCACTTGTAGAATTTTTTGATTGATTGATTGATTGATTGAGTTTCAAACCAGAGTCCTGATTCGTCGGCCTTCGATGCATCGACTTTTTACTTGCAATTAAATCAAAGTCGAAATTATATTTATATGACTCAAATAAATTAGTTTTAGCAGATAGGAGGAAACTTGATGATAGTTACCCTTTTCTCTTTTCTATCTTCCTCTGGTCTTTCTTTTTTCTAGTTAGGTCGGCTCCACCACAATTTATATGACTCAAAAAATAAAAGTCCACCTTGGACCTCATCTAAGAAAAGCCGCTGCCGACCGCGTAAAGAGACTCATCGTGATGATGGACTCAATGACAGATGAGGAGATGGATGGCCTTGTAGATGTAAAGAATAGTGCGAGTAGGCGGTTACGGATAATGCGAGGTTCTGGGTGCAAGAGTGAGCAAGAGTTACTGGTACTGATTACTTTGAAAGATGCGTTGTAAGAATGAACTTGGTTTAAGTGAACTTGGTTTCTGATAGCAAGTATATTAAGTAAGGACTGTAGTTCTCGGACTAGTGTTGTATGATCACCCCTGACTCATGGTGCAAAAGATTGATGAAGAAACTCAAACTACAACCACAGTTCTTCTTCTTTATCCTCGTCCAACATCCTATCTATCTCAAAAGAATACTCCATCTCCACAGCACTTGTTTACCGAGCACGCTCGCATAGCGGATATGGTCGAGAAGATGGGCGGTTCTATAGATCTTAACAACCCAATGGCCATGATGCAGAATATGCAAAAAATGCTGACGCCAGATATGAAAAAACATTAAGGCTCTCACTATTAGAAAGTCATCGTTAACCACTGCATCGTTCGTTGAGAAGTATGGGAAAATGTTAATGTTTCCCTTTGATAGAATTCGTCTTCGTGACGAGAATTCATCTACTGTTAGACCTCTCCACGTTTCTGGGAGATGAAACGTGGAGAGGTCTAACAGCAGATGCAATCCATGCTTGGCGGCGCTGGAGGGATGGGGGGGATGGTTGAGCAGATGATGGAGTCGATGGGCATGGGTAAAATGCCACCTGGCATGGTAGACTCGATGCTCGGAAGCATGTTTGTTATGGCAAAGGTGGATGAAGGTGAATATACGTAGTTAATGAATATCTTCACCTCTCACTTCGCTCCGCACTTCTAGCCCTTGTTCTGTTGTCACGATATAACTTTGTGTCCACAAGGCCCACGTGGTGGAGTCAACGCAGATTTTTTGCGCGAAATGAATGAATGAATGAACGTAGTTGATGAACGTAGTTAATGAAGATTCTTAACGTACTAGTTGAATGTTTTGCTCTGTAAGCGCATTTTGTACAAAGAAAAGTAGCAAAAAAAAAATGCACTGCCGTTGCCATATTCTTGTAGTTAGGGTAGATATCGAGATTTAAGTACTAATCACACACCTTCGTAGGATCATTAAAAGAGTCGAGAAAGGTTTTTGGAGGGATTATCGGGGGGAGAAAAATACTAATAGATTTTTCTAATCTCTGCGGAGGTGATAACACAGGCGGGATGCCAGGACTACCACCCGGAATGCCGCCTGGTATGTTTAACGCTTTACCATCTTCTACCTCTAGTGATAATTCCGGAATATCCCCCGCTCTGCAAGTGCACACACCGAAAGTCAGCGCTGGAGGTGGTCCGACACCAGCAAGTAGTAGTAGTAGTTCCGCTGTCCTCGTCCTTCGACCACAGACAGAAGTGAAAATACAAGGGTTGAAATCAAGGCCTGCCGAAAACGGAAAAGTTGGAAAGATATTAGGATATGATGAAGCAAAGGGGAGATACATGGTCGGAAATATCGCGGGATTGGAGCAGCCATTGGCCTTGAAACCTGCGAACTTCTGTCAAACAAAAGTTAGAGTACTATCTTCGTCCTCAGAGCCGAGTAATCGAGGGGAAACGACGATAATTACAACGACTACGACGAGTGGAGAAAATAATACAAGTGGTTCAAATACAAGTGCTAGTAGTGGTTCAAATACAAATACAACTGGTTCTCCAAAGAAGACACCAGCAGGAGGAGGGTCGGGCTCTCCTTCTTCAGCTGGAGGTGAAACGCCAAAGGCTTCTTCGAGTAAAAGTCGTCTTTGGGAAGTCCTTGGATTTGGGTCGTCCTCTTCTTCGTCAGACAAGGATTTGGGTCAAGAGCACGGAGTGCTTAGCTTATGACAGGAGTAGTTCTGAATGTACCACGTAAGATAAAATGAATCATACTTTTTACAGGTAGACCACTATGACCAAGCGATTCGTGAAATGACTGGAACTCGTATGCCTGTCTGATACAAATGAGTTCATGTGTAAATCGTAGCTAGCTTCCGCTTCTCAACTACGGCAGGGGCACACCTCTAATCGGATCCCTGCAAGAGTTTACTTTCCGCGCTCGCAATGAGGAGAGCGGGAGCTTAGTGGAAGATGCATCTCTAGTAGGCTCAGCTTTCGTATTGGGCGAAGGCCAGGCAGTAAGGGTGCATTCACTGCAATCTGAGAAGGGGAGAGCGTGGAACGAGTGCTACGGCACCATCATGGGCTACGATACGACCACGGGTCGTTACGCTGTGGATATGGGCGATGCAGGAAAGACGCAACTCAAAATCAAGCTAGCGAATATGATGTTGTAGGATAATCAGAGTTTTGGGGGGGGTGTTTTCTCTTCAGAATCAGTGACCAATGAGGTCCGAGCTTCAACTCTAGGTTCCGTGTTTCACAGACGGAAACCACGCTCACGTCAAAAGATATTGAGGTACCATATGATTCGACATATTTTCATTCTCACGTCTACATCTACATGTTCATCATCTCCCCAATGAATGTGGACACCTATAAACCTGTTGGGTACAACTTCCACCACAAATTACAAACGCCCTAGAAATTTCGAGTACAGCCAAGGCTACAACCAAGGCTTGCACGTCGTATTTGCTTATGCGAGATTTTTTCAACACACGATAGATCATCTCTACAAAATGCTGGTCATTCTCAGAAGAAAGTAGAATTCGCTACTATGATTGATCCTCAGTTCTTCTGTCTCCCTCGTGGATCAAGAATCAAATTGAAATCTAAAAAGCAGAAACTATGATCTGTAAACAGAACAAGATCTAAACAGAAACTGAAATGCAAGCAGAAGATCTAAACAGAAACTATGATCTGTAAGCAGAACAAGATCTAAACAGAAAGCGCTTATAAGTAAATGTAGAATTAGACAAGAAGAAAAAGGAAATGTTGCCATTGGAATATTTTTTCATGACCTCAATCACTGAATGACCCCCTCCACACTCCAATCGACAAATTTTCAGAGACAAACGGTTTTGCCTTCTTTTTCTTTTGAGACAAAGGGAATTAAGAGTATTTCGAGAACACCTGTTTTAGAGTAATTGTGTTTTGGAATCATTGTTTTGACGTTATACCATTGTTTGGAGGAAGATTATTTTCCAAATTGGAAGATTATAAATACAAGCAAACGCTCGGAGCGCATCGATACAAACTACAAACAAACAAGATTATAAATTCAATAATACAAATTGATTGCATTTGTAGGAATCTTGTAGACCCGCACCTAACCTAACCTAGTCTTGTGTCAAAGGAATAGTTTTTTGTTCGGACTTGACGAAGACCTTTCGCCACCATTTGCTCAGTGAGACTTTTCATCTCTCTTGTCCACACCGTACTAATTAGTAGTGAGTAAGGTTGCTAGTCCTAGTCACGACAAGTCTACTGAAGAGAGATAGACATCCTGTTTTTTTAGCACTGGTAGAAGCATATCCAATTATTCTAAACCCACTTCTATCTATCTTCTTTCAAATCTGTAACCATGACGTCTCCTACTTCGCAGAAGCTGTTCGCAGAAGAGGAGGCGGCAAAGTTACCGCTACTCGAGGAGCAAAACGAGGACGTCAGTATCGACGTGCTCGAACAAAGCAACCATGTTGATGACTTGGCTGCACATCCACTTTTATCTCCTGATAAAGATAATTCTCCCAGTTGTGCTTCTGGTGGTGATCGTACCACTGGTGGCGTTTTCGGTGCTTCTGCTCGTCATGGTATTCCTGAACATGGTACTTCGGAACTTCCTGATCCTGATGTTGGCGGTATTCCTGAAACTGGATGCCACACTTCTGAGATTCCCGATCCTGATGGTATTCCTAAAAATACTGGATGCAGCGATCCTGGATGCTGCGTTTCTACGAAAGAAGGAGGCTCGTGGAAATCGTGGCTCTCCCAAAATTGGAAATGGACTCTTCTTTGGTCAGTACTCGCTGTAGCAGTGATCGTTGGCGCAAGCTGTGGCATTGCATATGCAGTACAATCCGGCAGAGGCGGAAGCAGAAGCCCGACTAGTACACCAACCAATATTACTGGAGGTGCTGGTGCTGGAGGTACTGGCACTGGAGGTGCTGGCGCTGGAGGTGCTGGAGCTGGAGGTGCTGGAGCTGGAGGTGCTGGAGCTGGAGGTGCTGGAGCTGGAGGTGCTGGAGCTGGAGGTGCTGGAGCTGGTGTTACTGGTAATGGAGTTACCGGTAATGGAGTTACCGGTGCTGGAGGCACAACTACAGGATTGACGGGTGGCACAAATGGACGCTTTTTGACCGGAAGAGTTGGTGGCGTCCCTTCTGGAGGTGGAGGTGGTGGTGTCCCTTCTGGAGGTGGAGGTGGTGGCGTCCCTTCTGGAGGTGGAGGTGGTGGCGTCCCTTCTGGAGGTGGAGGTGGTGGTGTCCCTTCTGGAGGTGGAGGTGGTGGCGTCCCTTCTGGAGGTGGAGGTGGTGGCGCATCGACATCACCTTTGCGACGCGGTGGTCGCGGGAGTGCAACAGCAGGCGGTGGGAGTGGTTTTGATGAACAACAGCTCCGTCGGGCAGAGGAAGAGTCTAAGAACTATGAGCCACGGATTCCCGAAAGGATAGAGGCGACGCCCCTTGCGAAGAACATCCCACGGATAGACGGACCTGGTGAAAATTCTTTTGAAAGTATTCTGATGGATGGGGGACAGCATCTGTGCCTCTTTAATAGTTTTGTGGCCGCGCGTGAGGATGCCGACTCTGAGTCTGGACGGCTCGAAACTTTGCCAACTAGAAAGGGGGAGCCGCTGAAAGATAATTTCTGTAAACACGTATTGCGGAGGGTGTCTGAGCGTGTTACACAACGATTAAACGACGCAAACTGGAAGCGCTTCTACCAAAATGTCTCTCCCAATCCAAACGATTTTGAGCGGGCAGTATTAGATGCGCAGCGCGATACCTCACAAAGCAACATGCTGGGAAATTTGCCCGTGCCGCTGCTCTTCGACGGGTTCGCACTATCTGGAGGGCTAGACGCGTCTCCTGATCGAGCAGAGAGAGTCAATGGACAGCTAGACGCGCCTTCTGATCGAGCAGAGGGAGTCCGTCATTTTGTGGCGAATATGTGTCAGCACATGGCGATGCCTGACGCGATTCTTCTTGCACCCATGCTTGGGTGCATCATGAACCTGAACGTTTTTTTGTTTGATCACCTGGGGAGGGTTTGGCATAGTTTGGGCACGGAGCGACGCTATGTAAAAGGATGGAAGAACATATATTTGCAGAGGACTGTCGATCATTTCAACCTGATCCGTCCGCGAACCCTCGACGCCGAAAGACAAAATCTCCCAGCTAGCGTGACGGACGCTACCGATGGACGATGGCAACGAGAGTGCGAAGCTTTGAGAGGTGCATGGCGAGAACAGGGCTTCCCATAGTCAGCTTATCATAGTAAATTGCGAGAAGCGTAGAGTTGTGCGGAGCTACAATAGCAGGAGTAGTGACAAATACTTCCTCACGCTATAGTAACAAGTATTTATTAGATGTTCATCGTCGTACAATCAATCGATCAGTCAAGCAATCAATTACTGGTGATGTAAGGGGAAGCCTGGACCTCGTCTTGTGAGAAGTGGTGCTACTCTACTGCTGATGACCAAACTAAAAAACAAGAGTTAAAGGTATGTCAATTGTCTTCTAGCTGTCCCCATTGTAGTAAGATTACCGCCCGCAAGAACGAGAGAAACAGGAGGTAAAAGACCTCCCCTCTCACTTTCCCATTTGCTGACGTCACCTATGTGATAAGATTCACCTAGTGACGACTACCAAAACGATAATAGTTACTCGTATTTAGATGATGAAGGCAGCATGGTGTATTTTCAAAACTTCTATAATGGTTACATACTTACATACTAGACGATGAAGGCAGCATGAAGGTCTAAAATTGTCTCGTGCAGGTAGACGAATCTGTAGTACTTTTTAGGTCACACTACAAATCATGATCCCGTGACTTTGCTGCACGGCACCGCCTACTGTGGACGGGTCTATGATTTGAGTCATAGGACTGGGCCCGATCCGCGCGCATGAGTGAGTGAGTGAATGAATGAATGAATCATGAATGAATACATCTTGACATTGTCCGAGATGTTACCTTTGTATTCTTTGAAAGCACTTCAATCTATTTTTATTATTCTTTGAGAGTATCTTGACAGCTATGGATGTCGAACCAATAAATTGCTTTTTTGAGCATCTGCAAAACTACGGTTTTAGGAGGCGAAAGGGTGGTCACCATGGATAAGTACGTGTATCCAATAAATCGTATCGAGCATATGGAGGTATGCAATAAACCTTATTACGCATGCACGGCGAAGATAGATGTATGCAATAAATTGTAAGCATGCAGAGAAGTAGGTTCCCTTTTTGGGCATTGCATGTGATTTATGAATGCTCCTTTGTTATGGGAGCATGATGCCTCGGCTTTGTGGAATGAATTTGTGAAGTAGTTGTGTTCCAGAAAAACCGATGACTACTTGTTTCGTGATGTGTTAGTTTTGTGGAAGGAAGTTTTTAGAATGAGCGAATGCTAGCAAGAACCATGAGGGAAACGGAGAGCTCCAAGTAGTATCCACGTAGCATGTGAAAAAGAAAAAGAAAGAGCTAGTTGAGACGACGGCGTTTCATAATTTAGGGAGGAGTTTATAGTTATACTATCTCATCATCTACGAACAAGAATATAAAAATTGCCATTTTTTGAGAACATTCATTCAGAGGTAAAAAAATGCAGTCCTCTTCCGCATCCTCGCGACCGTCGTCGTCGCGTCCTGCTAGCAGTCGGTCTGCTACGTCGACCGGTACGTCAAATACAGGCTCGAAGAGCGGTTCTCAAAATGTCATCCTAAAGGGAAAGGACTTGGAGGCCTTTAAGTTACGATGATATCAAAATCGGCAGAAGCATTAGGTACTACTAGCAAAAAATCAGGGTCCATTATGCTCCTGGAGTGGGTACATTCATTCATTCATTCATTCATTCATACTGGTAAGTTGCGCGACTCGGTAGGAGCATACTCGATGAAAATAAGAGCAAGAAGATGTACAACTAAGATGAAGCAGTACAAGATAGGTTGGACTTGACCGTTATAGTCGAGGTACACCTACTTACACTTGTTGTTGATTTCTAGTCTGCTAAGATCATTCCCTTGATAGACTCCTTCCTGAGTTCTTCACTATAGTATGTCACTTCTGCAGCTATAGGCTGTTGCTGTCAAGGGATAGCGCCTTATCTTATTTGAAAACTTAAGTTCTTATTCTTTAAGAAGATCCCTCTTTCTGCTCGACGTCATCAATAATGCAGATGGTAACCTAGTATCTTTTCATATTCCGTCCGTACATCGTACCTAAGCGGCTCGTTATTCGTTACTCCTGGACCTAGTATCTTTTCATATTCCGTCCGCACATCGTACCTAAGCGGCTCGTTATTCGTCGCTCCTAGACCTAGTATCTTTTCATATTCCGTCCGCACATCGTACCTAAGCGGCTCGTTATTCGTCTATGGGCATTGGCAGTCGAACGATGTTCTGAGGGCGCTGTTTGACCGGATTCCGGATAAGGAGATGGCTCTACTATTAAACGACAACGTTTATGGGCCTTACGTAGCGCGTGACAGTGGGGATCCAGCGCTGACGACGCTGAATATCCCTTTTTTATGGAGTGATTTGGTGTTAGGTATCTTCCGGTGACACGGAAGAGAAGAGTTGGCACTCTCTCATTTGTATCTGTAATTTAGTCCAGTTGCCGGCGTTCTTTCAAGAATTCTACCAATAATTTTTACAGTTGCAGCTATACCAGTAATCTAAATATACTCCTGTTCCACATGGTCTATTAACATTTTCCTACCCTTCTCTTTTTCCTCCTCCCCTTCCCGCTTCATACCCCGCCGTTCCAGCAGCCGAAGATCCAGTGATATTAGGACAGCTGATCACGGGTTTGACGGCTAAGGAGCTTATTTTGCTGTCAGCAACGATGGATGATGAGTTCGTCGTGAAGAGTGTAGAGGTAGAACGGATCTACGATGGTGAAATTCTGACAACAATATGCTACATCTACCGAGAGGAATTCGCGCCGTTTATGTTGACACCGGTGAAGTTTATGGCCCCATTCTGAACGAGTTTATAAACAAGTTCAAAGTCTGAAGTGAAGTGATAGAAATAGAGGATGCAGTGTATCCATCCAAGCTGAAGTGAAGTGATAAAAATAGAGGATGCAGTGTATCCACCCAAGTTCGATTTTAGTAAGCGCTCTTCGTTTACTACTCGTAGTTCACTTGGAACTACGACCTACACTTTGCCCAAGTACACCATCACTAAGCCAGTCGTAGTGGCTATTTTTTTGTGTTTGTTGCCATCGACAAGTATGAAAGCCGTAGACCACTTAAACACTATTGGTTTGCCTTTGTTGCTCGTAGTAAACGAAGACGAGTAGTAAACGAAGACGAGTTCCCAGCTTTTCGTTTGCCTTTGTTGCTCGTAGTTCCTAAGTCGGCTTTCATCACTTGGAACTGCGAACTACACTTTGCCTACTCGTAGTTTAGATTGACGCTTTCATCACTTGGAACTACGAACTACACTTTGCCGCATTGGAGCCAGTGGTGGAGCGGGTGTGCCTGTATTCGCGAGAAGTGCGACGCGAGAACGAGTTAACGTACACGATTATGAAATTAGAGGTGATGAGGAGCTACTTGGTCTGTTACATGATGTTAATGTTTGCTTAAGAGGTATTTGGTATTCAGTAGAAGTTGTTGAACCTCGAATAGTTAATGCGTAGACGATTTCTTTGTTCGTTTAGGAATCATCCAAAAGCTAGTGGAGGGTTTTCTCTTTTTCTTTCTAAATTGTGCTGTACAGAGAAACTCCACATGCTTCCTCTCTCTAACAACACTTCTCATGAGTTTGAAGAGGAGGATGTGCGCGCAGCGGTGCGGCTGATTCAGTATAAGAAGGAGACAAACAAAAACTACATGGGTCAAGCCTTTGTAGATCGCACTCCAACTCTGATCCGGTATGACGATTTCTAAGATTGTAGACTTGTGGTCATGATCTGTCTTCGGAAAGAACTTGGCTAATCTTTGCTGGCTGGTACGTATAGTTTTACGAAGCGCCGCGTGTTGACAAAGTGCTTCTGTCGTGTTCTAGAGCTGTATGATGAAAGAGCGATCTGTGCAGCTCTGGTTTGAGCATAATCTTTCAACTCGACATCGGTATTTGGTCCTCGTTTCTCCGTATAAAGATCGGTTCATTCTTTCGTGGTTAGTAAAAATAATACTATGTATAATTACAACGTGAGATAGCTCTTAGGCAGAGATGTCAGACGCAGCAACAGCAGCAGCATCCTGGTTGACCAACGATTGCGAAGCCGTGTCACCTGATGATCCTTGCCTAGTTCACAGAAATCCACGATCCTCTCGAAGATGCTTCTCATGGTACACGACATGGTCATTCTAGATTGAACCCTGGCACCGCAAGATCTGCTGTTTACGACTAGTCCCCATTTGTATGTTAAGTATCTGCATTTTTTGACCAGATTAACATCGGACCATTGAGAATAAAAGTTAGTGGTAGTCGTTCGTACTTCTTTTCCACTTTCTTGGATTGATGAAAGACATTCCTTCTTACTTTTTCATGCAGTCTATTGATTAGTGTCACTGTAACACAAAAAACATGGTTGCGTGGAAAGAGCAGAAGGAGCTGGGTAACCAGCTCTTTCAGAGCGGGGATCTTACTGGTGCGATTGACAGGTACAGTGAAGGCATCATGAACCTGTGCAAGTCGATGGACTGCAAAAACAACACAGAATCACAGATATCGGAGGACAATACGCCGAAAACGAATTATGAGAAGTTGGAAGAATCAGGCGTTGTGTCCTCTACCACTGTCACCGGCACCGACCAGAATGCGGCCTTAACCGCTGACGGCGCACGTGCGAAGAGCGAGCAAAATGCGGCTCTAGGTCAGATGTATGCGAATCGAGCACTCTGTTTTTTCAAGCAGCAGAAATACCAGGAGGCGGCGGATGACTGCACTGACTGTTTGCGGCGTTTGGACGGTTATCCGAAGGCGCTGTATCGACGGGCATTGGCATTTGAGGCCTTGAAAAACTGGAATAGGGCACTCGAGGATGCTATTTTGTTTTCGCGGGTTGACAAGAATCTTGGGCCACCACTGGTTCAACGCCTTAGGACCGCAGCGAGAGAAGACATGCAGAGACAAATGCAGACGTATCTTTGATGGATGTATTGGATAAATTATAATTGAGCTTTCTGGTTAGTTCTCTTCTCGGGTGACTACAACATTGTAGTATCATCTTCGAAATAGCCGTTCTTATAATCTTTTCAGGTCCGACACCATGCTCCCTGTCGATGCGGTGAAAGTGATTCAAGGGATGCTTGACGGAACAGCACTTTCTGAAAAAGTGCAAGAGAAAGGGGAGGGACAGGCGGATACAGATGAAGCGATGGCAAGCAGTCTCTTTTCCGTCGATAAGCTGCACGAAGTTGCCAGAGCTTTCCGCTCAATGACACGAACACTCGCAACTGGAAGCACTTCGAAGAAATCGTTGCTGCAGAGAGATGTGGTGTCGCTAGCGTGTCAAACGGTACGCAGAATATGCGATGTGGAAATGGGCAGCGTGGCCACTGATCTTGAGACAGGGGAGGCCGTTCGTGTCCCTGCGAGTGCGATGATCCGGGCTTTGAGGAGTCGGCGTGCAGCAGCTGTTGTTGCTGGAACAACCGGAACGTCTACCTCCTCAACTTCTTCGTCATCCTCGAGTACTACTACAGCAGTTAGTTCTACTACAGCTGGACTAGGAACAACAGTCAGCAATTCGTCGCTTCTGTCCGCTTTAGAGCAGGACGCACTGACTCGGGTGGTCGGGGCAGCGTTTGAGCACATTGCTGTGGTCGGACACTACACATGGAGTGAGGATGAAATGGATGTGAAATATGATAAGAAGCAACCTCTCCCATTCGATGATGATACAAAGCAAGCACAGCAGAGCATTCGGTCGACACTGCCATTGCAAGACTATCGGATGCTGTTGCGGATAGGGAAATCAAAGATTTTAGACATTCCAGAAACATCTACTACTACTAAGGGTGATGGTACTTCTAGAAGTCTATCTAGTACCCCGTCTTGCGCATCGACTACGGCTTCGTCCTCCTCAGAAACCTTACTTTCACCATCTTCTTCAGCTGAAGAGGCGTCTCCTTCGACATTTCGCTTCGACATGTCATGGTTGCTCGACAGCCAAGCAGTGCTAGAAAACGCCGTGAAGTTGCTGTACTTTTACAGCCCGAATGAGACGAAGACCTACCACGGAATCAAGGGCAAGCTGGAGGATCAGAATTTGCTCGATTCTTTAGCTGATATGCACGACCGTTTGCAGAAGTACGGATCCGAAGCAGGGACTCGCGTGGTAGCACAAATAGCTGACGAAAGGCGGCGCATGGGGGAACTGGCGAAAGCCTATGTTCCAAATCAAGCTTTTTTTACGGCTGATGTCAACGAAGATGTTTCAGATTTTTGAGTCCTGAGTGTGGATTGATGCCAGTAGTTTCATGGAAGATTTAGTCACTACAAAAGCCTAATTGATGACGGACTGCTATGTAAAAAGTACTTCTAATTTCCACAAGCTCGTCGAGTCCCTGCTGCACACATCGCCAGCCTGTGGCGTCGCTTTGACAGGGTGTCTCGCGCAACTGTGGTTTCTTTTGGCGGATACGGAACGGCCCGAAAAGGATCAGATTGATTTGGATGACGTCGCGTCGAAGATGATTCTCCCTTTTGTTGGAGCGAGCGACGCCGCACACTCCAGTTCCGGTGGAGTGGAGCAGGCAGACCACACATTGTTGGCGAATGGCTTCTTGTCTTTGTCTACGATGTTCTATGTGAACACGAAAGCGGCTTCGAGTTGCTTGCACCATTCCAGTGGCCGCGTTTTGAACGTCATTCTGCGGCTGTGCTACACGCAAGTGTTCAATTATGGAATCGAGAATCCTAATATTAATTGTAAAAATTCTCGAGGACTGCGTAGATGATTTTGGGATTGAGGATCATGCACTCTTTCACCGTTTTTGAATGAAGATGATCTTCCTGAATTTCTTGATTTTGTACGCGATTATGTCTTATTTACTATTATCTTTGCAGTTACAACGCCGCTTCATTCTCTCCTCTCCTCTCGCCCCCTTTCATACCCTCGTGCAATCGGCAGATACGCGTTTGGCGCAGATTTACGCCTCGGACGTTCTGGTGCAATGCATGCGGAGCTTGACAACTCGTGGACAGATTGTTGACGCTGGAGGTGTCGAGATGATTATCGGAATTTTGAAAGGCCTAGAGCGCGGACCGAGTGAAGCGAATAATACAAATTGTGCTTCTAGTAGAGACCGTGGTGACACTTCTCTCCAGGCGGATCAAACTCGATTGCTCAAGGCGAAACTGGTGTGCGCTCTTGCGTTATTGGCAGCCCACAACGAGGAAGTTTGTTGTCAGATCTTTGAGTTCACCGACTTCTTGGCGGCGCTTGAGAGCGCTTTTGCGTATGTGAAGGACCTTTATGCGGCACTGGCGAAAACGAGGCGCGAACTGGAAGTGAAGGTGCTGCGAGGTGGCGGCTCGACTGGAGGAAAAGCTTCTACAGGAGAGGCTCTCCAAGATCGTGAGGGCGGAGGAAACAAGAAGAGTGTTAAGAAACTGGATTTGAGTACTCTTCTGTTGCATAGTGAGTTGTTTGTGCTCTCACTGCGTACAAGAAGGCTTTCCCAGTTTTAAAACTAACAGGAATAAAGTCGCGATACTTAGTGGACTTACGAGGACACCTTGCCAAATTCTAATGTTGTCCCCGCCAGTCCCGCAATCACTGCTACGGCAAATCCCTTCTCGAGCCTGCCAGATGAACGCTTACTCAGTCTGGAGAACCAACATTTGGGAGAAAAGGAGCTCTTGCAGTCTCGCGAATGGGACAACATTTTGAAGCTGAAGCGGGGCTTCTTAGAAGCATTTGTCTACCTAAGTATGCACAAAGATTTCAAGGAGGACTTCGTGGCAAAACCGGAATTACTGAAGGCCTTCTTCTGCGAGTTCGTACGTGGGGAGGATATTGCTGCGGATACGAGTGTCTTATGAGTCTAGAAGAGAGTTTTCTTCAGTCTCTCAGATCATCTTCGTGTGTCCCAATAATTAACTTCCGGGGTAGCTGCGCTAACCAGCTTCTTGAGGATACTTGTAAATACACTTTTCCTCTTATTATATCATGATGCAAATATGTGATCCTAAATTTCTAAGATTCGGCTTCCTCTACTTATATGTGATCCTAAATTTCTAAGATTCGGCTTCCTGTACTTGACGATCCTGTTCAACTTCTTCCGTAGTCAGGAGGACAAGGTGCGGCCGCGGCGCAAGGAGTATCCTTTTTCGGAGTTGGATGATCAGCAAGTGGAGGAGTTAGAGGAGTTCTATAAGAAGATGCCAGAACAGCACAAAGCAGCGCAAAATGGTGTAGTCAATGCGGGGAGTGCGGCATTGGCTCTAAAGTACAGGGAGTTTGTGATACACAGCGAGGTGTGTCTCGAGAGGCTGCGAGAGTGCTGTGCACCGAATATACTGTCGGCTTTGACGCTGCACGGACAAATGAATCTGGCGATGTTGTTCAATTTTTTGACCTCAAACGAAGACCATTCCTGGCGACGGAAATTGATGAAGGCGGGTGCGGTTCCCTCTTTGTTGCGGCTGCATAAGATGCTTGTGACTGGTGGTGCTGCGAAAGAGAACGGAAAAGCGCTAGATGCGTGTCGACAGGTATAGTTTCTAACTGGTTTTGTCACAACTGTTGGTCTCTCACAAACTACTAATCTTTGCTGGAAAAGTGTCGGACGGAAGAAATAACATGTCTCAATCACACACTTTTCTTTCCGAACACAAGCTCAATTTCAAAATCGCAGGCTCTAGCGCACATAGCTCTGGTAACGAACCCCGAGTTGTATCCTTATCAAGATGCTGCGGACTTAGTTCCGGTGATGCTGTTGATGGCTCGTGACTCTCAGAATGAATTGCACCAGTTTGAAGCTTGTATGGCCTTGACCAACTTAGCGGCCAGTGCAGAGGTGCGCGATTTCGTTATCTCGGCTGACGGATGGAACTACGCTTTGGACTTGTTGTTTAGTAGCAACGAGCGCGTCCAGTGCGTGGCGATGGAGTTGATGAACAATCTTGCTGGGGATGAGAAGATTGTCGAGAAAATTTATGAGATGATCATAAGGTGCTTCGTTGTGTGTTTTTGATCGAGGAGAAAGCTCTCTTTGATGATGTTTCTGTTTGTGGCTTGCATTCAATACAAGAGGCCGAAGTAATATGCACTGTTCTAATACCCGGGCAAGAAATGTGAGCGGTGCATGGAAGGTAAGGGCGTTGACGATGCGCCGGCTGAGATCAAAATTATGCTGTCTTTCTGTGGCGTCGTCACGCGAAATGAGGCTGAGATGGCTAGACTAGAGAAGGAAGAGGCCGAAGAGGAGAAGGAGGAGTCAGATGACGAGAAAATTGAGGATTGGCCAGGGAGAAAAAAGAAGCCACAAGTGGTTCAGACAAAGGAAGAGAGTGCTGGTTTGATTAAGGCTCAACTGTCATTGGTCATTGGGGTTGGTCACTGAGGTCGAAGCGGGCCCCCTTATAGAGAACAGGGGAAAACAAAGGGAAAGCAAGTAGAGGGGTCTGGGGCCCCCCCGTTCAGAATCAGTGACCACGGAGTGGCGACCTTTAATTTGAAGGGAGGAGAGGGCGATGGGAAGGATCCAAACGCAGAACTTCGAAACATCCTATGCGGCAGGAAAAAAGGAAAGGTTGACCGCGCAGCATTAGTTAAGGGATTCCACATTGACATTACATCCTTCTTCACTAGTACTAGAATATGTTACAAACTACATCCTTCTTCACTAGTACTACTGAAATATTTAAATGTCAACACAACTTGATGTGAGGAAAGCGATGAATAGGAGCGTACTACAGAGGACATCCGCGAGGACCTTTTCCCAAGTGGAAACGAAAGTAGGTCCGGGATGATCTGAAGAATGCAAAAATTGCGCAACCTCTAAATTAGACCAGAACGATAAGCGCATGCTCATTGCAGCTTCAGGGTGTCTGGCTCAGCTCACGCAGGACACTACGATTTGCCGCATGATCTCCGTGACACCGCAATTTCACCACCTGTTAGACCTGGTGGCTTGGTCGGGACCCGGCGCGGACGCAGACGCGGAGTTTTATGACTAAAAAGTTGTAACTACTACCTTATTGAGATCACGTGATTATACTAAGAAAAGTATCATTGTTCTTTATGTCGCCCTCGTCTTTTTTCTACTCGCCAGTGCGTGCTACAGATGAAGTTACTTATACTGTTCAAATGACTATGTCTAGATCAATACAGTCTGACACGATCATTCGCCAAGAGGACGCTCCTCCTAGCCAGCTTATCCTCTCTAAGAACACCGCGCCGTCGCTGCGATCTGCAACCTCGTAGCGTGTGATGAGGTTATAGGGCATGTCCGACACCTAGCGCAGAGCGCTATCGAGAAAAAGATAGCGTCGAAAACGGGCCTCCTCCATCCCAAAAGCAAGGAGAATTACGAGTTTTTTAAGGAGTGGCAAAAAGAAAACGGGAGGCTATGACGACATTTAGACCTGATGTAACATACATAATATGGAGTGTAGAGGAATAAACCTAAGCATCTCGTGTAAGTACCCACGAAGAACCGCGTCATGTGATTTCGTAGAAATTCTTGTCCGAGATGTCATTAGCGCATAAGCATGTAGCAGATCTTCAAGTAAAGAGGATCCAGGAAGTCGTCGTTTCTAATAATTCGTATCTGATAAAAATTCATCGATATTAAGAGCATCAATATGTCTATCTGATCACCCAAAAGAAATATGACTATGATTTAAAGTAGAGCAGAAACTTGCTACTACGTACAACTGTCGACTAAACGTCGTTGCTGTCATTTTGAAGCTGCTACGCGAGGGTAATTGTTTGCGTTGTGAATTTCTCATCTGTCAACATTGAGGCTTCGGATATGGCAGGGATACGGAGCAAGATTTTTCCTTGTACAAGGAAATGCGTCGTGTAACAAGAAAGACGCTCGTGAAAGGACGGCTCAAGATGTGAATACTCTTTGATGTTGTGTCCTCTTTGGAAAACGAAGAGAAATCAATTCCAGCGGTTGTCTAGAGGGATCATGAAAGTCGGCGCAGACGTAAAGCGCTAGACGGAACCAGATCTGTTGTAGCTACCTCTCCCAACACAGCGGTCAGAAGAAGTGGAAGCCTAAATCTCACGATCCGGTAGGAAGTCTGGGTCTGATTCGATCTAAAATGATTAGAATTCGCTAGAAGATGGCAAAGCGGACCTTTTGAAATCGGAGAAACCCTTTAGAAGAGAGGAAAGGATCAGAGCAGCAGCTACTAGCTTTAGTTGATATGAGTTCGCAGCAGCAGCGAGTATAATGTCGAGTAGTGTAGCAGTTTTGGATGCGTGATTTACAAGACATGCGTGACTTTTGATTTCATTTTTTATTCTCGTACGACGGACGAGTAACAACACCTAGTATGATTTAAGAAGACTTTTTTTTGTTTTCCACACCCTGGCCTCCTTTCCTAACCCCACTCCGTTTGTTCCCTGCGCTGTGATATTCTTTGTTATAATTACTGCATATCAGGATGAGCATCGGAATTTCTGGCTTTTAATTTCTTTTGCCACGACTGATTATAACTGTATGTTTAACGACCAGACTGGTTATACTTATATGTAACTGTAAGTTCTTTATCATATTTGTTTATCATTTTCCAGGTCTCCAAACGTCTAGAATTGCAAGTTTTTTATTGCTCCAAACGTATAGAATTGATCTACCGGAGGTGTTTTTTATCATTTTTCTTTATCAATTTAACAGACCAAGGGAACTACATGTCTACTAAATATTAGATTAGATTAGACTCAAGAAAACATGTCTACTCAAGATTTTTCCTTCTAACTGCTAAGACCAAGAAGAGATGTCTACCAAAGAAGAGAGTTGTCAAGCACTGATCGTAGCTGATGAAGACGCTGGCGAGAAGACTAATTGCTCTTCAAGAGGGCAGAGAGCGACAGAAGAAGATGTTGTAGCTCTTGGAGAAAAGCCTGGTCAGGGATGCTGCTCGCCAGAGCAGAAAGAAGAAGAAGCTGCAGATGGAGAACAAGCGTCGTCCACCGCTGAGATTGAAAGTAAGAAAGCCATACCGACAAGATTTCTTCAGTTGACGAATTTAGCGGGTGATGTTTGGGTGTTTCCGTTTCAGGAAGAAGAGGAGTCATTCTCCGTTGGAGAGGCGAAGGAACTAGTGGCTGCTGACGCTAAGCTTGGACCTCTGAGATCAAAGGTGGTATACAAAAACGTTTCGGAAAAAGTACTTCTACGACCACGTTGCGACAGGAGCAGTTCAGGAAGTGATGAATTAGGTGATGTTGTTGATAGGCGGGCGGGTTGTAACTCCTGTGTATATGATGTACTAGGTTCTTCCGACACATACACAGCATCCGACATGATCGGAGGCGGCATCCTATTTCCGCCACAAGTGATGTCTCTGAGACATCCCGTGACTGGTGAAGAGCTTGACGATGATGACGATCTGAATGCGCTAGACTTGCAAGCGACGTTTGTGTTAAGGCAAGAAGAAATCCTCTAATTAAAAGATCTTACACCCCACGAGTGGGTACATCTATCTATCTATCTACAGGCATCCTGAGACCGTTTTCAAGGGGAGAAAGGTCCTCGGATGCGTCTCAAGATGGATTTCTCTTGGTTCTAATTGTGTTTAAAAGCAAAAAAGTTTGGGAGACGGAGACGCTGAAAGAAGAATACTGGCGTATGGCGAGCATGATCGCTTCGCTCTATGATTGGGTGCGATTTTTGGTGCCTCAGGTGTTGAACCCGAACCCATTGCCACTAGACGAACGGTGTCCTCGAGTCTGTTCGTGTCTCGCCGATATCAACGAAATGTGTGCGGGCCTGCCGGAGGAGATCAAGAAGAAAGTTCGGGCGCTGAAGCTCAACAAGGAAGGGAAGAAAGATATAACCGATGACTTTTGGGAAATCAAGTTGTGGATGATGTTTTCGGAGAGGGCACGCCATTTTCTGGACGAAGAATCAGAAAAAGACTTCTACGAGGAAGATCAGCAGCTCCTCGCTGGATACCTCTTTTGCATGCATATCGACGACGACGAGGACGAAAGGTTTTTGACTGGCATCATTACTGGAACATCCTGGGTGAGGGCGATGCTGGAGCATGAATCAACGCGGAGGAGGGACCTACCGAAGAGGCTGCTGGTGTTAGGGAATCTGCGGCGAAAGCTTGCCATGATCTTGGAGATCGGGTATGCGCGCTTGACCAGCATAGCCCAGATCTTCGATGCTTATGAGATGAGTAGAAGACCAGACTCAATGATGGAATCAATATATAGTCTGCTTTTTCTTCTGTTCTCATCACCAGTGGTAGAAGAAGATGACCACCGGAGACGTGTGATGATGATAGTCTAATGTCGTCCTTCAGTTGTTATAATAAGTCGTTCGATCATGCTGAGTAGGTGCTGCACTTCTGAATTCCTTCTAAGACCTTTGCATGATACTGCGGCTATTCGATCTGTGCATCGCGAGCTTCCTTGACCTAGCACCTTCATCCAACAATTTAGCAACGTCATCAACTGCCACCAAAAATGATGAAACAACTGTGGAAAAAATTGAAGGTGATTATAGGACTGAAGATGGTCCTCCATCTTTTATGGCTCCTTCCCCTAATGGTCCTTCTTCAGAGAAGGCATCCTAGGAGAGACGTTTTGAAGGGGAAAACGCTCTCAGGATCATGAACTTGATGCTCTAGAGATATCAGGATATTTTTAAACTCTAAATCTTCCATGAGCAGAAATATTGCGCTTCCAGCCGATGAGCAGAGCAAAGACTTCCTGCGTAGGCAACTTTTGGAGGTCATGGAAGAGTATTTTGAAGTCGAAGATTTTTTTGTCAGCGAGGACTTTGGACTCGAGGATGTTGACTCGGAGAATGATTCGCAGGAAGACTGGTCTCCAGTAATAAAGCAGAGTGAGCAGAACAGCATCGGCGCATCGGCATCACTTCTAAGGCAGGGTGAACAGGAAAGCACTGAACGCGCTTTGACGGATGAGAAACAGAATGAGGCCAGCCACAGCGCTGATGACCAAGAAAAAGAGCCGAAGAAAAGAAAATTAGACTGCTCGTTACAAGTAGAAGACCCACAACTTCTACAACAGCACAATCAACCACAAGAAGAGAGCAGTAGGAACGAAGGACAAGATGGTGAACCACAAGAAGTTAGCAATGAAGATCTAGTCAAAGGAGCTAGCGGCACTAGGAATGAAGATACACACTGTCAACAAGTAGAAGCCAGCAGTGGTAGCAATGAAGAATGTCAGCAAGAAGCCAGCAGTGGTAGCAATGAAGAAGATACACTGGTGGTCACGAATAAGAAGATCCGCATGGACTTACCGTATATCCCTAGGATAGACTTGCTGTCGCAGCAACCAAGTCTGGTCTCGGATGTCGCGAATCGGAGAGAATTCCTGAAGAAATGGATCACCTTTGCCCGAGACGACTTGATGATATGCCCAAAACATTTGGCAGAAGGGAAGATGAATCTTGTGGAGCGTGAGGACATCCGAGCACTGTCGTTTGGCATTCCGAAAGAGGAGCTAAAGTCTTTGTTGGGCGGGGGTCTCTAGGGGAAGCTCGGTAATTCATGAAAGAAACAATGTAGTCCTTCAAAGATGAGTTGTAAGTAGCGTCTACATGATGAATCACGAAGGTTGCTTTGCTTCACGTCTCGATCGATTCGGAAAGTGGATGAAGTAATAATTTTCTTGTTTTGTGGATATTAATGACATGATCGCTATGGTGAGAAGGTAAGTAATCTGCAATCTATCTACAGTCAACGAACCAACTACTTTGAACTACGCACTGCTGGAAGCCAAATTGGATGTCGTATAGTTTTTTGTTTGCTATCTCACTTGCTGCCCCACATTCTTTCAAGGTTTTCTTTTTTTCTATGCTGTTTCACGAGTAATGAGCTACCCATTTCGTTTTCTTACTGTTTTACTATTTTGGTATCTTAGTTCACAGTGATGATTTTCCGTCTTCACAGACGAAAAAAAAACTGATAAGTAGAAGATTCAACTTGTACAAGAAAAAAGGCAAATCATCCTTGTACAAGAAACAGGCAAAAGAACTTGTTATGATTTTGTGGTGCTAGTACTGATTGTTTCTATTCAAATCGCGACCCTCCAAGGGGGTTTTGTTCAAGCAGACAGCAACTACAACTAGGAAGAATGTGAGACCAGCCCCAGCATGGATACTGCAAGAAGGACCATAGGAGTGTGGTAATCAACCATCACGCAGCGCGTCTCGGTGTTTTTGGGTCGCTTCTCGTCCTGTTGGAAAGTTTTTCCTTTCTAGTGTGTGCACCTGGTTCTACTTGTTCTACGCGAGATCACATTCTGACTTGTCGGGCAGAGGTACTCTAGTCACACATGCGTTTTCTCCTTGAGCAGGGAAGTCTAAGTACCTAACTGATTACGTTTCGATTAGCGAAGTTTGTCGTTTTTTCCGTAGTAGAGTGTTGAAGGTGACTACAGACCTTGTGATAGAACAAGCTAATATAGAATTTGTATCTTGACGATTAGAGCACCGACGCGTTGGATTTTGAATGATTGGGAACATCTAAACCAAGAGTAGATACTTACAAGTGTAGAAGGAACAATCTCAGATCAGAGGAGCAACAAGATGGCGCAGCGTCCCCCGATCCCCGACAGCTTCTTCTGTCCAATAACAAAAGACCCGCTCACTGACCCTGTGCTCTGCGATGACGGGTATACCTACGAGCGGGAGGCAATAGCAACATGGTTGCAGCAAGCTCGTCGCGAAATCGACGACTGGACCGGATTCCCAGCGCCTCCGCGTTCGCCGCTGACGAACCTCCCGCTGAGGTCTCTTACGTTGACGCCGAATATCGCTCTGCGCCAAGCCATTGAGGCCTGGTTTGATTGTTACCCAGATATGCGCGTCAAGCGGGCGCGAATGGATTTGCAGGATGTCCGTGTGTTACGGTTTCCGGTTCCCACATTGCAATGGATCCGTCACGACTGGGAAGGTTTTCCTTGGCTCTTTTTTTAGTACATGTAAGAGCGGAGTTGTCGGGGATGTTGTTCTGGTGTAGAGTGCTATCTATTGCGATGCGTAGTTCTGAAGGAGCCTCTAACTGTGGCCGTGGAATCGATGCGAACGGAAGCGGAGGGCAAAAATGAGCGGAGTCAAAGGCGCGCTTGTGAGTTGAGGCAAGTAATTTTTGCACTAGAGGCCGACCGGGAGAGCTTAATGAGAGAGCTCGAGAACGAGAAGGAGATCAGTGAAAGGCTGAGTTAAGGCTACCGCTCGCCAAGCATCTCCTCAATATCATGATCCGTGATCCCTCTTTTTCTACTTGAAAGAGAAGCGCTGCTTCTGAGGAAAATGCTTCTCAGGAAGTATGCGAACGGGGTAGCTCTAATTGAGGGGTGACCTGAATCGCCTAAGGCACAGCAGTCAGGTTCGCCGACTTTCCGATGGGTATACGACCACTAGTACTAGGACGCCAACCGCAACGACAGCTACTAGTACTAGGGACGAGCGGAGGGAAGCGGCCGAGCCATCCCGAAACTCTTCTGATGGCCGGCGGAGGCTCCTAACTTCACCGTCGCTCCTCGACGATTCACTTAGTAATAATGTTAAGGCTCGTGTTTTGTTGAGTAAATGCCTCATCTTTTGTTGAGAAGTTGACTTTTTTCTCGCTGCAGTGATTCCGGAAATGTATTTCTGCTCTACTAGTATTGGAAAGGATGAAAGCGAAAGATGAACTACGAAAAGCGCTAAGAACACTAGCGATGAAGAGGCGCCTGAAGCTTCGTACGAACTTTCGGAAGCTCAGCTCCGGGGGGCTTCAAGCACTATTATGGAAGGTTGTCAAGAATAACCCTAGGAAGATCTCGCATTTTGAGACATACAGTTGCCAGCACTAGTGTATGCTTAGAGACTAAACGGCTATATAGTATACTTTCCTCGTCTTTTTACTCCCTTCGCGATAATATGTAGCAACGATCCTCTATTGGTACAACGATTCTCTCCTGTCATATGTTGTGCCGCTTCGTTGTCTATTTCCAGGTTTAGAGAATCTGGAACACAAGAAGTAGACGCTTATGGTCCATTTCCTTTTTGCTGACACTTTACAACACTGTTCTGCCTTTCATCATTTTTCTCCAGAGTCAGCAGATCGAACTGCCGAAGGCCCTTACCCTGGAAGAAGCAGAAGAGATAGACGCGTCGAGCCCATATCGCTATTCGTTGGAGGTGCCGGACTCTCGCTTCTTTGATTAAGAGTTTTATGCCGGTAGAAGAGGGGAACTACTCGGGATGCCAAGAAATGGACTTCAATACAAGAACAATAGGATAGTTTTCCCCTCTACAAACTTAGACTTATCACGTGCAACAATCAATAAAAGAACAATGAACAATAGGATAGTTTTATTAGCATTTGCAATTTGTCTGCCAGGAGGGAAAGAGAACATCAAGCGTCCAAGGGTATAGTAATTTTCTCACTCACATACTCTAACAGAACGATCCCGAGATTTATGCCGTGAGGTTCATGGAAGATGCCGACTGGCGTTCTTACTTCCGCGTCGATTGTTTGCTCTGCAGAAAACAATGCTGGGACTACAATTATGCCCGGACTGTTTAGGCGGCCAGTTGCCGAACTATTTAGTTCAAAGAGTCGAATGATTGAGTTTTTCCATCAAGTGAAGCAGCCGGCCCGTTTTTCCCTCTTTTCATAGGTGTATCCCTTCATGCAATATATCAGTCATGGCTCCTCGTACTTGGATGAAAGTACACATTATCATGATATCAAGCGTTGAGTTATCATGATTAAAGGGGGCAGCTACCTACCAACCTATTCTCGCGGTTCAGTCACAAACCATACACTGAGATGAGGCAGCTTCGAACTATATAGTCTTCCCGTTGTAGAATAGGCGAGTTGATGAAACGCAAACAGATGTAGAGGGTGAAGTTGTATAACTACTCCTTGTCTAACTTATCGGAGGGCACTGCACTTCGGTGCGACACCTGAGGCACGTGAGCTGGCTTAGACGAGGATGGAGATTTTATGAAGAGTAGTGCGCTCGGTACCGAAAGTGCATAGATTTAGGAAAGCGTGCTCGCGCAACGATCGTCAGGGAGTCGATGATGAAAAACTTCGGCCAACATCTGAAGACGACGAGTCCATATCTTCCTCCAGCAACATTCATTTGGCCACCTAAACTTTTGGTTTGCAAAGAAGGCATGCAGCATATCAACTTAAAAGGATACTTTGAGGCAGTTTTATTCGATTGATCCGAAATATTGGGATCTACCCCGTCATCAGCTGAAGCAATGACATTCCACTTGTAGACAGCCGGCCCCTTTCCCCATGATGCCCATAATTCCCGCCAGAACTGAAAGCATTGTTGCAGATCAAGAATGCGGCCCTATTCGTTAACGGAAAGCTGTGTTGCATCGGTGAAAGCTGTTGTACCGTGCTAGGCTACTGTGACACACCAATGACGTCCTCTAAGCAAATTTAGCAGTCACTGTGCAAGGAGCAAGAGTATTATTGGCCGAGAGACATCACGGAAAATTCGGACGCGAAAACTATTACTTATATTTGGAGAGAGAAGTGAAATTCACGGCCACATTAGCACCATTCAGGCTGCCTCGAGAGATCGGAGTATATTTGAAGCAAAGGGTGGTCCAAGTCTGCATGTTGCATTCACATCGCAACCGGACATGTTTTCGTAGGATGTCTCCCTCCGCCCCTTCCTATCCTATCCACTTCCGTATCTTCACTTTGGATTCCCACAATGTTTTTCTTGCTTTTGATTGGCTTTGCAAGATAGACAAGCAAAAAAGGTGTAGGAGGTGCATGGAAATTTTCGCGACTATAATTTCATTGGAAAAAGCAGTAGACGTTCGAGTCCAGAGCTTCGTTGTAGTCGACAACTTGTTTGCTAGTGTGCAAAAAGTAAAAGGATGCTTCTCTCCGCTCGTTCCGCTTTGTCTGCCCGTCAGTCCGATCTGAAGATAGGAAAACCGGTCAAGGCGAGGACTCATCATCGACAGCAGCAACATCATGTCACGACTACTGCTACTACTACTACTTCCAGAGAGGCGAGGGACGAGAGGCTTTGCTCCGAGCAGAGGCTTTCTGCTGGGGAACAGTGTCGGCCACAGTGTGGCACTCAAGAACAATCTCGGCCACTGTGCATCCGACCCTTACAGATCGGCGGTTGGCGTGATGCTCTGCTCGATGGCGCGGATGCTCCGAGTCTTGTACTGTTGGGTTCGCGTCCGTGGTTGGAGCGCAGTGTAGATTTCCTACTGCTGCATCTGGCAACCATCTTCGAGGTGCGGGAGTCGGGCGTGTACTTGCTAGTAGACGGAGAGCTTTCCTCCGATTTGCAGACGATGCGAGAGAAACTTCTGCCACCGGAACTAGGGTTAAGACCCTTTTTGGAAGTTCGTTCAACCAACTGGAGGATGTAGATCTTCATACTGGAGATCTTCGTTTCTAAAATTCTTCCAACTGGAGGATGTAGATCTTCATACTGGGATATTTATGTTTTACAGTAAGTACTTAAATCATGTCAAGTTCTAACGGGAGAAGACGGACGTGGAAAGATGACGAAAAGCCGCTGCTGGAGGAGGCAGGTATCGATGTTGTATGATACGTTCTTCTCAGAAGGTACAAAGAGGCTGAAGGACCTCATTACTACTTGACCATGTAGTGCCCGAGGTAACATGACATGACATGACTACAATCCTCACACTCCTGAATATCGGTGGTCCTGCTCCTGTTTTGCCCTGTCATCCTTCGCTTTATCTGTTGAACGCCATGCATGCATGCAAAGTACTGCAAGGAACCAACTGGACTTACACGTACACGTATCGTTGGAGAACATTTTAGCCATAGCTTTGTCTTTGTGTCTGTGAAATGTTTGCTTTCTCTGCGCCCACCGCTGCTGGTGCGTCGAACTAATCGAAAAATTTGCAATTGGAATTGTAATCTTCGTGAAGAGATCTCTTTCTCCAAGGTCCGTCCGAATTGCGGTATTCGAGACGGCGGCGTCAGCGTTTACTGCATCCTTTGGCAGGGATTTGAGACTCCAGTACTGCCCACGGCTATCATTGCTGGACGTTTTAGTCTGTATGGTGAGTCGTCGCATCCTGCGCTTGACCGCGTACGAAGTCGGGAGTCCGCAGGAGCGAAGAAGAGGAACGTCGTCAGCAAAGAGGAGGAACGACGTTTCATCACACAACTCGAGGAGCTCTTGAGGCAGGACGTGGGGGAAGAACAAGATGTTGTTTCGCAGGATGGCGAGCGGGCGTCAAGCAGTTCCTTTGCCGGATCTTCTATTAAGGCAGTTGAAATACAACCAGGAAGCATTTATTTATATTTTGGATGACAAATTTAATGGTGTAGTTTTACTTTTACTATTAATGAAGAGATTCGGTACTGCTACTGGCAGTATGACGACCAAGATGGGATTAGGATTGGCGGATGCTCTAAAAACTGTACTGCACTAACGTCAACGTCGGGCACCATTCCCGGAAAACCGAATCGAAAGCAGACCACACGAAAATCAATTATGAGGAGACGAAGTAATAGCGTAGTTTACTAGTGGATGTTGCACTTTTTCTTAAAAGTCAGTGAGGCGATTTTTTCTCCAAGTCGACGAAAGACATGATAGCAAGAGCGTCGAGGCGTAGTGGGTTATTCGTCTGAATAGATAAATCTTCGGACGAGAATCCTTGTCGTACGTCTAATAGGACTGACCCTACTACCGCCCGAGGAACGCCACCCTGGCGTAATTACGGAAATGCGGAGGTTTCGTCCAATAGCAGAGAAGCGGTTTTGCGGGAGTTGAGGAGCCGAGGGGAGCGGGTCGCGATGTTGCGTCGCAGTGTGGCGGAGCTGGAGTCGAAAGTAGAAGCCTACAGACTTCGGCCAACAAAAGTCCATAGGCTAGAACTGCTGAAAAAACACGGATATCCTCGTTTATCTGCTGGCCCAACCTCATCGTCTTTATCTCGACAAGCAGAACAGCCTGTGTTAGCACGTAGCACAAGCGGGCGTGAGCTTCCAGACCGGGGACAACATCATGTGAATATGAAAGGAGGAAAAATTGTAGGGGATGAAGAAGGAGAAGAAGAAGAATCTCAACAGGTACTACATCAACGAATACCTCAACAAGCACCACAACAGAATGTCCAAGTTTTGCCATCCTCTTCCAAGAACAGTGTAGCAGCATCCGAAGTGGCCAAGGCGATGAGTACAGTCCAGTCGGAGAGCAATTTTTCAGAGAACGGGTCATCTATTAAGAATTACTTAATACTGTGATTGCTCACCTTGAAGAGCTTCGTGTTCTTCTGTGGTGACCTTTTCATCAAGGGAAAGAAAACGTGTCAAAGATGAGTTTCGATTCGAATTGCCGTGAGCTCTAACTCTAGTGCACGATCCACCTACTCGAAGCAGGAAGCCGAGCGTCTCTTCTGGAACGACTGGGGAGATAATTCTGACCTGCCTCCCGATTTACCTCACGTCGAGCAAGGGAGAAACTCCGTCGGAGGTAGTTCGCCGAACGGGCATCTTCGTGAGAACCAGTATTGTCCAGACTACAGGGAGTACGAGCAGCGGACACAACGATCGAACGGGAACAAGGATACGACTACGACCTCCGCTGTGCTGCTCTCCTCGAACGTCACGAATGTTGCGACACCACAAGAAGTAGCAGTGAAGACTATGGGTGGTGAGTCTGAGTACGTCGGTCCCCCTGACAGCGGCGCTGTATGCACTAATGAAATGGACAGCATGCTGCAAGAAAGTCCGCCAATGGACGTGATATCGGCGAACAGTCAACATGCAGCAATACGTCGTGAAGAGACTGAGACTGTTGTAGGCGAGCATACTGGTGGTCGTGAAGGGAAGCAGGACGAGCAACTCCAGCATGGGCTGGATGAGAACGATGAGCCACTGAGTCGCGAAGAGGTCCACTTTTCAACATACCAGGAGCATCAAGAAGATGAGCGCAGTATTAGGGAGGTTCAACCACAGCAAGATGAGGAGGACTTTTACGCCGATCAAAGGGACCATGATCCTGACGACGATAACGAAGGGTCTATCGCTTACTACCGTGAGCAGATGGAGTTAGTGTGTGATGAAAATGATGAAGAAGACCCTGGGGAGTACTTCGTCGACGAACAGGGTAATGCGTGCTTCGTTGACGAGCAAGGTAGGGAGTACTTCGTCGATGAACAAGGTGCTCGAGTGTATTTCGTGGACGAGGACGGGCGACAAGAATACTTTGTTGAGGACGCAGAGGAGCTGGAGCGAGAGGAGGAAGAAGCACGACTAGAACCAGCGGGTGGCCCAGAAATGAGACATGATTTTCGTGAGGTTATGGCTTCCAGTGATGGGCCGTCTGAACCTGATGAACACGTCATCCGCGATTCAGATGTTGAACTTCTAGATACGTGAAAACCCTCGAATCAATCTGCGGCTGTACAGCGTGTTTTTGAAGATGTTGTAAAATACTGTTTCATGAACATCATGCGGACTTGTTGAGAGGCTTAACATAGTTCAAACTGTCAAGTTTGCTGTCAGCTGACGGGCATTTCCTCTTCACCAGAGGAGAAGAGCAGGCACTTTCAAGTTTCAACAAGAAACACTTTCATCTTTCCAATTCGTCGTAAAGATTCGAAGCTAGAGAAGAGATTCGAAGCTTGAGATGAGATTTGTAGCGAGAGAGAGAGAGGTCGGTTTGCACAAGACGGCTCTCAGAGTCAGAGAAGCCGCAGAAAGTTTCGTAAACCTCTCTCTCTCTCTCGCTGTACAGAAAGTTTCGACAAGCCATTCGGTAAATTTGGGGAAGAATATGAGTGAAACTTGTCGTGGTGACAAGGGATGCAACCCCTACCGAACTCCCTCGATCGCTTCCTCCCCAACTTTTCCCCCATGCTAGAACATCATCATTTCTGATCAAATCTGGTTGAAGTCCAATCCATGCAGTAGGGAATAGTAGTACTAGTGTTTTTGGAGGAGTCAGGAGGCTCCTGTGTTATTTGGAATTCTTGTTTGGACTTGGAGCAAAAGAAGAAAGCATCATGGTCGACGCGCAGGCAGCGGCCTCGATGGCCTTCCTGCAGGAGAATGTGGGAGAGGCACTAACCGAAGCCTTCACAGCCCTCTCGCTAGCCCAACCGGCAGATGCAGTCGACTTTCTGTCAACTTTCTTGCTGCAGTACGGCGTTTCAGCAGGAAAGAAGGCCTCCAGGGATAAGGAGAATTCGCGAATTGCAGCTTTGAAGGCGAAGTTGGGGGAGGAAAATGCGTATAAGGAAAGAGTAGCAGCAGATGCGAAGGCAAAAGAAGATGCGACGGAAAAACGTACTCCTTCTGAAAGAAGAACTACTCCTTCTGCGCAGTTTGTTCTTCTTCTAAATGTAGTAACTCTTCTTTTACTGTATGAGCAGTTCAATCATGCCTTCTTCCTTCACTTCAGAGATTTTTCAAGCATTCACTTCAGAGATTCTGCTCACAAAGAAAGAGACAAGAAAGTTGTTGAGATTTATTAGGTCAAGTAGAAAAAGAACGGGCACTGGGATCGGACAAGAAGGACATAATCGAAAACTCAAAATAACCGAGTTACTCACTGACTGAAATAAGGTAGGTAGCTTAACATCAAGGCTACTCTTCCTTCTCGTCAGTATCTCGGTTATTCTGATCAGTTACAACTTGCTTATTTCAATTTATCGAATACATCAAAGGTAAAGGAATCCATCCAACCTCTTACCATAGGTTACGCCGATTGCCTAGAAGCTTTGAAGGTGATTGAGTCGTGGAGCGAGGAGACCTGGGAAGAGGTGTGCCATAATGCGTGTGCAGTCCTTGGGGGAACAGCGGGTTATCTTGGCGTTTTAGATGCCACACGGGAGGAACCGGAGTTGCATTACACACATGGTAAAAACAAATGAGGGTTCCTGATAACTTTGCTGGTTTATTGATTTTAAAAGCCGTTCGTCTTCTTGTTCTTGACCATTGAAGACTACGTAGTTACTCCGATCAGAAATTGAACTTTACTAACAGACATCACATGAAGATGAGTCAATACTGTCATATACCAACATCACAGGTCAGCCCCTTATGGTGAATCAGTTGCTGAAGGCATCAGAAGGCGTGACTCACAAGATTTTTGAGGAAGTTCCACCACCAGAAGTGGAAGAGGGCCAAGAGCACCTTCTAGCGGCACATAAGAAGTTTCAGCACGTGGCCTGCGACTACGTCACAGACGTGCCGGAAGTGAAATACTTCTCATTTATGCATGACGATGGCTTGAAAGATGTGATGCATGTTCTAATTTGATGTCATCTATTGGTTGGAATCAGTTGTTTCACCAGCTCCTACGTACTGTAGGATATGAATAAAGATGTCGATTGCATTTGTTCACTCTCTTTCACCAAGAAAAAGCTACTTCTTATGTAAATCTATATTAACTCTACTCATTCTCATCAAACAAAATAAAATCTGAATCTCTACTCTTCTAACTCCCGGATGAAGCTTGGTGCTTACTGTGCTGTACCGATGATCTATCCTGGATATTTGACACTTGACGCATTGGCGACCTTTTTGGAGTATGAGAGAAATCCGCCACAACCGCCAGAACCGGAAGAAGGCGCTGACCCAGATCCAGACTGGACACCACCAAAGCCGGAGCCAGCAGCGACGGAGGTAATATTAGAAATTTGCCAATTGATCAGTTCAAGTTCCATTTTAATTTTTGAGAACCGAACTGGGAAAGCAAGGTGAATGTTGACAACAAAATGTAAATTCCAGTCCTATTGACCCTAATCTAGCTAATCGTATTTCCAGAAATCATTCGAGATTGTCGCGAAAATTTGTCAGGTGAAAATGGCCTTCGCTGTAGATTCATTATCAACGAACAAGAAGCTCAAAATGGGCGAAGTTGAGAGGGTTTACACATTAGCAGCAGCGGCGGGCGAAGCTAAGAGCAGAGTGGAGTTTGAAGGTATTCACTGTTGTGCATGCTCAGAGCACTCTTCGTGATTCATATAATTTCTCAATAAACTTTCTTACATCATTTATTTTGTGGAGAGCTGTTGGGAGCTATTGTAGTCTTGTAATTGAACTGCTCAAGAAACATTAGTATTTATTATGAATTTCTCCCACCATCAGACGTGTGGAAGCAAGCGAAGATGTACGTGAAGGGGTCGGAGTTTGTAGAGGAATTTGAGAAGCTTCAGGGTGCTGCACCTGATGTAGCGAGTGTAGTAGCAGCCTACAAAGACGCACGAGAGGGTGCTGACTTGACAGAGACAGAACAGGCACTAGCAGAAACCGAAGCAGCTTTTCAGGTGGCGTGCAAAGCAGTGGAGGGTACTTATCTATTTACTGTTCTGAAAAAACAGACTACTGCTCAATTCCTTGGACACTGTAGCCGCATAACAAGCGGATTTTATTCTATGTATCATCATCCCTTGTCAGAGGCTAATATCACCTCCTCGCCATCCCGATTCATCTCCTACTAGGTGTTCTTCCAGCAGTCGAGACGCTCTCGGCTTGCGCAGTGGTGCCGCCAGAGGTGGTGGCAGTAGTCCGCTGCATCGGATATCTAGTTGGGTTTGATGACACAACATGCTGTGGAGGCCCGCATAAGGAGGCGTCGTGGGCTTTACTAAAGAAAGTCATCCCAGGCCTCGGACCCAAGCTCGTCGCTTGCAGCATGACGAGCCCGCGACTAGGAATCAGCAAGGAACAAAGGTGAGGTTTATTTAGGGTGTGGTTTTATACGTTATACGTGGGTACTGACCCAAAAGAAACTGTTTTTCAACAACACCCTGAGCGGCGATCAACACTTCCCTTCAACGTCCTCCTTGGGGCGATCCGCCAGAACTGGACAGTCATGTAGTGTGGCCGTGACGCCGCGGCATCCTATTCTATCCTTTTCTACCCTATCCTATCCTATTCTATCCTAAAGTAGTGAGTTTGAGATGAATTATTATAGTATCAGTATCTTTGCTCAGAAATGAAATGTAAAATGATAGAAGCCGATGTATTCTTTTCCTTACCAGGGAGTACTTCTGTCTTGACAGCAGTCTTCATTTTCTCTCTCCCAAATACAGGTTCCCGAACATCCAATCTCTGAAGCCAGAGGCGATCGCTGACCCTGTTGAGATGGGTAGCTTTGGTTTCAGCGTCTTGTGGTACTGGCTGCAAGCAGCATGCACTGTGCGAGAAGCCTATCTAGCGGACGAAAAAGCCAAGTATGACGAAAAGCGTGCTGTCTTTGAGGGTCACGCAGAGGTGATGGCACGATACTACGAGTTGTTGGCCGTATTGATTTTCCTTTTGTAGAAGATGACTTTCTTATTGTAAGTGTGTGAAGATGTAATTGAACAACGCGAGCAGTGGTCACAATACGACCCCCTTTTAACCTTTTTAAATTCAGTACTGCATATCCTCTCCTTCTTCCTCTCCCCACCTATAGTACTGCCTAGCATCGGCTTATCCTCTCCTTCTTCCTCTCCCCACCTCCATAGGAAAAAGCCGCGAAGGAAGCCGCCGGTGAGGATCCGCCCGAAGTGGGTGAGAAGCCAGAGCCAGTAACTAAGCCGACGCCTCTATCCGAAATTGATGATGATTTCAAAACCGAGTAAAGGAATAAGGCTCATTCTTTTGTGTTGTTATTGCAACCTTTGAAATTTGCATCATCTTGCTTGGTGTCATTGGTTTGTAAAATTAGCTACTTCTTATGTAAAAAAATCCTGAAATCTTAGAATCGTCTACATCTTGATAAAGGACACTATGCTTCTCTCATTTTCTACCTAGACCGAAATTCGAAACGTTATCACACTAATGAACATGATGACTGAAGATAGAAAAAGACTTAGAACGCTCAGAACAGAGTAGGTGATAGTATAGAAAGCTGAATAGAATATAATCATCATGTGTGATGTCCCTACACCAGAAAAACATCAAACTCATGCACTTCATGTCTTTCAATGCAAATAATTCTAATACTGGGCTGCCTTTCAGAGACGTCTCCTCCTCCAGTGATTGGTATCTATTTAGATACTTTGTAACCGAATGAAGTAGAAGAATTTGAGGTGCAGCTGCAACAGTATTTCTTTATGGTTGTAGATGATACAGATACTTCTAGACTAAACGACCATCATAAAAGCAACAAAAACACTGTCAAGATCATTATGAAACAGGATCGAGCGCAAGGACAATAAAAAAAGATCAAACAACGACCTGGACATGATCTAGACCTGGTCTAGATCATGGCAGCTCCCGCGCAGAACTCGTTGCTTTCAAAATAGCAAAAGCCACAACGATCAACAAAAGGCAACATCAAGAGGGATCACGAAGATCAAAAGCTTTGAGGGGTTCCTGTAACGAAGATCATCGGACGAGAGTTATATTTATGGGACACGCGGCACTTGACCTTGAGATCACAAATTGTACCTGAAAGCTTTTTTGGCTGGATCTCCCCCATAAGCTCCTTAGTTGGAGACTCTCTCTCGATACCTGATGTGGTTCGATCAAAGACGAAGCAACTTTTCGATTATCTTGTTTTTGTCGTTCGAATGAGCAACAGGTCTATTAATTTCAAAGATTTCAACTTTTTTCTTGGTCTGTTGTATGGCAGATAAGTCAGGACACCAGAAGCATTAGCGCGTTAAGCGTACTCGGTTCAAAACTCATTGGAGACTGTGTCCCGCATGATTTTCATATAAGACCCAAAGCACCCTTTCCGAATAAGAAAAGAGATCGAGACCCTTGATCTAAAACTGACTTTACTAAGCTAATTGTGCATCAAAGATCTATTGTATTTTCCTATTTGAGATTTGAAGATTACTGTGCTCATTCGAGAAATTATTGCTCGATTACCTGCAATTAATAATGATCATAATGATATTCAACATGATCCTCAGAAGTTCTTCTCGCAACTACACGGCCAGCAAAGCCCGTGCGGGCTTGCTGTACGTTGCCAGTTGCGGATGCATGATGATTAGTACGAGCTATGGCGCGACTCCAGGTAGTCGTGGTTACGGCGCGATCCCACAAGGACAAGGGGGGGATAGATTAGTGCGGCCACCTCGTCTGACGGAGGAGAAGAAGAAGACGGGGAAAGCAACGATGAGTCGACCTGGCGACGCCCGGCAGGAGTTGGTAGCGGCTGCATGTTTTGGGCCAGACGAGGCAGCGCGTCTGCCGAATGCCAAAGAAGGTGCCCAGAATATCCTCCATAGATATATCACGGGCGATTGTGCAGCAGCCAAAGCAGCATTGCAACCGAAACATCTTCAAGGTCCTGGAATGGCCTCCAGTTCGAGAGATGATGAATTCGCTCGCTATGCTTCCTACAATGGTGCTGGGATTCTCGATACTGGTGCTGTGTCAAGTGGTCTTTCTGGTGGATCTTCGTCGAGTGGTCCTCTTTCCCGTATTTTCGAAGACGGTCGTGGCCGTCTTGGTTCTTCTCCTCCAGAAACAACGAGGCGCTATCTTTGGCAAAAGGCCGTCGCAGCTCGGTACCCTGAGAAGCTGTATCAGATCAGAACACCGTTTTTTGCAACTCGTTTGTTCGAGGGCATACGTGGATCTGAGCGGCCTTCTGCATTGGAGACTGGTCCGAAAAGGATTTTGGATTCGCACTGTGGGCATATTGCTGTGATAGAAAGGAATAAGAAGCTCCCTGATTATTCTTCGGTGAGAAATACTGGGGATCAGGTCGGTGCTGCTATGCCTACTGTTGGTATGTCGAGTGATCAACCAACAGGACCGGCTCAGGGATCTGCAGAGCCGAGTGAGAGTGCAAGCCCTGGAGTAGATGCTGATGCGCCACCAGCACCGGGAGCATCTGCTGGACAAGCATCTCCTGCAGCACCAAGACCAGCTATGGTGACAAGAGACCACGTGACCGTTTTCAATTCTGCCGATGCCTTTACGTTGGATCCTCACTGCTTCATCGGTCTGGACGGACCCACGTCTGTCGACTCTCACAACGCGCCTTTTACGTCGTTGTGTTTGTGGCGAACCAGCATCAGCTGCGCAGCTGAGCGTGAAGTTTTCTATCGAGACAGAGCAGAGGTCGCGAAAGAGAAGAGAGAAAAGTCTTCAGCGTCAGGCGCTATGATTGTAGAAGGAGAATCGCTCGAAGAGTTGAAAGCTAAGTGGCAGAGAGAAAAAGCAGAGCTTCCACGTCCATCCCACATAGCTTTAGGATCTTCCAAGCGCGTCGATGCCTTGGGGAAGGAGACTCAGAACCCGGATTGTCCCTGGTTTCGTCCGGTCGTGAAGTTGTACCGTTTACAAGGACCCGATGGCAAAAGGCCTCAACTAGATAAGGAACTCGAACTTGTGCTTCCCAGACGAGAGAAAGTAGTCCATGTCGGAAGTAGAAAGCCAACGTCAAAAAGTTCGGTTGCACGAGGAGGTTCACAATCGAAAGCCCCAGCGCAAGAACAGCAACAGGCTTTTGGATCAGCATCAACCCCGGCAGCGCCTGGAACAGCAGCATCAGCATCACCACCACCGGCACAACAACACGTTGTAGAATTTTCCTCCAATAGGGATGATGTGAAGCAAGACGAGATCTTGGCTATTGATTGGCATAACGCAGTGGTAGCTGTCGGAACGAGAGAAGGGGTTCTAGCTTTCTTCGATTTGAACTCTCGAGGACAGACCGAACCATGGGGAGGACTGCGTATCAAGTCCTTTCCCGAGGAAGAAGTGCCGGGAGAGGAGGGAGAGGAGGCTACTCGCAAAAGCGCTAGCACCGGAAAACCTCTTGCTATCCACGCAATCGCGCGTTGTCCCTTAAACCCTGAGATTTACGCTGTTGCAGTGGGTGACGCAACTGAAGGAGACGTTTTGCTGTTCCATTTGTGCACAGAAGAGGGAACTTTAGAGATGATACGAACTTTGAACAATTGTTCGTGTGGCAATGCTGGTGGTGGTAGCACTGGTGGAGCAAGCAGTATCACTAGTGGAGGAGCTAGTACCACGGCCAGCGCTGGATCAGTTTCATCCTTAAAAAAGCATAATGTGGCGGTGAGTGCTCTAGCCTGGCGCGAAGGCAGTATGCATCTGGCGAGTGGCGATGTGAGTGGCAAAGTTTTACGTTGGAAAACGGTATCGGGAGAAGTGCAACCTCTACTGGTGAATGCTAAGGATGTGGGGAAGAAGCCTGTTCTTGCGTCTGGTGGTGGTCAACAGGCAAAGGGAGCTGCCCGTCAGAGAAGAGGTTTTGGTGAACGAGATCGAGACCTCGGACCATCTCCGACAGGGGCTCTGTTGGGAAGAAGGAGGCAAGAACCCCAAGCGCAACATGGGAGAAGCGACGCGCAACAGACTAGGAGGCAAGCAGGAACATCAAGTCAAGCACAGGAAATGACTGCTTCAACACCTGGACCTACTTCTGCACCTACCGAGGATACTCCCGCAGAGCCAGAGGGCCAGCAAGATCCAGACGACGTTTCTATCTGTGATGAAGCCATTACCGGGTTAGCATACGCCAATTTGTTCGATCATTCTGCTAGTCCTGCTGAAAAACAGATTGCGGTCGCAACGGCCGGTTCTGGATTGTTCTTCATTGAGCCTGACCACATTCCAGTGATTCCTGGCAATGCAGAAGAACAACGTCGGCTTGGTGGAGTTCCGACCACTGACATGGTGAATTCTACCTTCCAACGACTTCACGTTCCTGGCAGCAATAATTAAGGCTCGACACAATTCACTTCCAAGGGGCATTCTCTTCGGTCGTTTCCTTCTTAGGATTCTGAAGAAATGAAGGCAAGAAGTGAATTACTTTGAGCTCTAAAATACAACGGCACGAGTGCTGCAAATGGCGTCTGGTGTATGCGCCAAGCATTTTGAAGCGTCGAAACAAAAGCCAGTTTTGTTTTTGCTGAGGAGTGACGAGGGAAGCTTGGAAGCTTGGGAGCAGACCCCGTTGCCTACAAAACGAAAGCGGGAGTCTGAACAAACTGGGATGCTGTCATCTCGTGGACTGATGAAAGGCGTCATCCGATGAATTTAAGGGGGATGCTGAAGATGAAAAGTCATGCTGTCTCCAGAAGATTGTTTTTCGTGATGTCGGTAACAACAGATAAGTCATTCGAGAAAATCTAAGTCTTCACTTTGTTTGTCTACTACGTAAAAAAAGGTATTGCTAAAAGATACGGATATGCCTGATTTCTTTGCAAAATAAATATCGTCGAGAGGAAACAGCTGACCGATCATGTTGCAAAAGTAGACGGACGGAAAATATATCTACTAAGTAGCATAATGCATTGTCTAATTGAAGATGGAAGATGGTAAATTAATCGAAGAACAAGGACAGTAAAAAAAGAGCTTTGAGGCCAAGAAAGAAGGAAAAAGTAGACAATTGGACGGCGGACCCATTCCTAGCCTATCCTGTTTGATGATTAAGAATCCAGATCAACATCCATTAATGACTTGCATATTTTCTTCATCAGCATAGGCATTATTATTTGCAGGACCTTCTCATCATATTTTTTTTTTGCAATGAACTTTGTTGAACGAACCACCACACCTTGCAGTTTCCTCTTTCAGGAATACTCCGGTCTAGGTCTGTCTTCTGTCCCCGTACGTAGGGTGAATAGTCTCGCGGCCGTCTTTTCGACACACCGTTCGTTACTATCTTGTCTTGCCGGTGGTTGAGAATAACCACTAAAGCCGTAATATGATGATGATGATGACGAAACGAATCGTTTCGGCAAGAGATGTCGAAAATGAAACTGCACAGTTGCCCTACCGGCGACAGTCGGAACTTTTATCGTGATTCAAAATAGATTTCTAAGCCATTACAACGGAAGATCTCGTTGTTTTTCTTCGTCTACTTATCCTCGAAGCGCCATTATATTGACCAGTCGTGGTTTTTCTCCTTAACTTGTCGAAGTTGGTAGTGAGTGTGTCGAGGTTAGCAGTGAGAGTGACGGGATGAGCAAAGGTTTTTCGAGGTGCGTGGTTCGGTAACGCAGCGAACTTTAGAGACGAGGTAGGACAGTACAATCTGAAAGAGATGAAGGTGTCTTTGAGTGAGAGAGGAAAAAGCTGAGCACGAAAACGACGACAAATCGATCTTACAACTCTGATAAGGCCGCGCTCTTGTCTTGGGGTTCGTCATACACTAGTACGCGCGAATACAACAGGCTGTCCTGATCTTATATATAATGAATTCTTCCTCTACAGTTGTAGAAGTAGCATGCCAGCATTATGTTAAGATTCACAACTTAGGTCCTGCACTTTCACAGTTAGGAGAAAGTGAAAGAACAAATGGCAGAGGAAGCCGAGGCTCCGGAGGCACCCGGAGTGCCGTTCGGTTCGTATGTCGTCCATCTCTGCGGAACGAAGATAAAAGTCGAACAGAAAGATGGCGAGCCGAATACCACAGCCGAAGTAGATCTATGTCAAACCTTTTTCGATCAACTCGAGTTAGAGACGTTTGAGCAGAAGGACAAAGTATGCGTCGTGCCTGGTGCGGGACTGCAAGAAAAGCTCGCACAAGAAATAGAAACCAGAAAAGCGGCAAAACAAGAAAAGGCAGACGCTGGAGAAGTAAGACAAAGGCTACTAATTGAACTTGTACTAGGTGGAGGTTCTAGTTTTGTGATTCATCTTCTAGGAGGATGACAATTACATGATCCACTCTGCATGAGTATCTTCTGGAATACATCTTTTCCTCCAAAAATCCATTGACTTGTGAAGTCAGTAATGAATCATGAATTAATCAAATTCTGATCCACACAGGCAGTGGAAAACGGTTTAGACTGCGTCTTTGTGGTGAAAGATTGTCCTGAGGAGCTGCTGGACGGGGACGCAGGCATACACGAGTTTGTGTATCTTCACGGAAGCAGCGTCACCTTCGAGGAAATACCTTCTGGGACTACTTCTGAGACTACAGGTGATTATACACAATCACAATATTGTGACCTGCAAATAATAATAGTTTTTTTTTCAACTTGACGTCTTTCGGGGGCGACTGTTTCACAGATGAAGGTGGTCCCGTCGTAGATCAGCTCTTGGCGGCACTATCTGAACGTCGTGGACGGGTTTTATGTGAGCTGAATTGCCGAACCCGAACCACGAACATGAATGAATGAATGAACTTGAAGTTGTTGATATGATCATGATCATCACAAAGCAAGTTGTCAGTAGTGAAAGCGTTAAAGTTGAGCTTTGAAGCACAGACACGTAGATCTTCTCAACCTGAATAGACTCATCTTCCACCGCATTGAAATCAACCTACTACAACAGACGGTGCCGATCCCACGGTTGAGAAAAAAGTAGGCCCAGCCGAGATACCAGAAGGCGTAGTTGCGATTCATGAGAAGCTTCAGACTGCGGATTTCGGCAGTTGGAAGCGAAATGTGAAATTCAGAACCATTCCAGCATGCGAGAATCTCTACATTATGTTGGGACGATGGAACTTGGACTGACTACTTTTTTGAAAAGTTTATACCTGCTACATCAAAGACCAGCACACGCGACGTGACAGCAAACAACATCCATCTAGAGCCACAGGTACTTACAGTTTTTCACATATGAAGATATCGACACCCAGAAGAACTTCCCATGTTCCACGCTTTACCTTTCCTTCTCTAATATCCTAGACGGTGGCGTGAAAAAGACCCCTTCTAGTGGCGATGAGGAGCCGCCACCACCGTCAGCGTCGGCTTTTGCCACGATGCTCTATGACGAGTTTGCTAAAGCATTTGAGCGGCGTCAAGCACGGGTCGTCAAAATGGAATCGCTAACAGAAATACAGGTGCCGGCAATAGCAGACTTACTTATGGCTTTCGTTGTTGATAAGAGTAGATCTAGATAGTTAGTTTGTTTTTGACCTGTAAATGTTGTAGGGATTAACAAGGGCTTTTTGTGGGACACAAGAACCCATGTGCCAATTCTAATATCACAGCAGAGGTGATTGACACCAGTGCTTACGAGAAGGAGATGGCGGCGGTAGACCCAGTGAAGCATGATGTTGGGTTCTTTCTGCACTGCCTGACGGAGCAGGTGCAGAGAAACCTCACGGAAGGAGGCAGTATCTATTTCGTAGGGTGATGTTTTGTATTCTTCGCACTCAACTTTCTTATGCTACATATATGTGAGGACAACTTTGTAAGAATACTCTTGTACCTATTATAATGCTGAGTTCCGTGTGTAGTACCACAGCACGATACAGGACACGACCCATCCTACATGTCTCTAAATAAAAACTCTAACTTCTTCTTAAAATAAAAAAAAAATCCGCCTTCGCAACAGGTAGCGCCTCCACCGCCACTGGATCGCAGCAGGCAGAAATCAATCTCGAAAAGTATCTAGAGGCAGCTTATTGCCACACAATCACGGAGGATGATCCTGACGTGGAAAGAATAAAAGAAGCGTCGACAGTGATCGATGGTAAGTAAGGTGCTTGTAAGAAGGAGTTGGGCTCAATGTAACTGTTTACTTCTAGATGCCACTAGTACAGTGAGATGAGATAATATAATTATAGTGTTGATTGAGCATTCTCTCTTGATTCTTTCTTGCCCCTTAATCTTAATCATCCTATATTTTTCTATGGACAAAATCATCTGTAGATGTATTCGATTTTCATCTGCTTCAGGTGTCGAAAACGCGTTAGTCGAACCAGAGTTGAAAGTGAAGCTTGTTCCGAGCTTGGACCGCGTGATGGTGAAGCATCTAGGTCAGCATCATGCTGGGGACGTGGGCAAGGTCTACGACTGTCTGAACTACCTGGGCCAATTGCACAATCCGCAGACGGTTTTGAAAGTTAAGGAAGGAGAAAGGATAGGAGTTTTATTCTTTTCTATAATGTTTTATTCAGCTAGTTGGTAGAAGAACCTAAAGAACGCGAGAAAGAGAATCGATAAATCACCTCACAATTTTATCGCAGAGCTAGATGTAACCTCAATGAACTTCTAAGCAAAACGGAAAATGCGACTATATGGGATTGGCAGAGCGATCAGCGCAGAGAAATCGCATCTACCCATTCTTCCCTGAGGATGACTGGACCATTGTAGAGATAGAGAGGTTGTTACTCTTGCAGGAATTCGAGGAGCTGCTGCGAGCTGTTCAGCCCGAGCGAGAACCTGAGCTGCACAAATCGCGTGTTTACCATGAGAAAATACCAAAGACATTGCTGACGCAGGTAGTTGGAGTTTTTGCTTAGAATTTAGTTGCCTAGCATTGTGTTGTACTCGTTGTTTTTGGGTTGTGATTGAGTTGTGATGGAAATATGTGGTCTACTCCAAGATTTCCAACCACCGAGCAGGGCCTAGAGTTGTTAAACTATGATCGACCTACTTCGCAAAACTTCTATCCAAACACATCAGACATTGCACAAGTGCCTTGCTGAAGGCGGCTACGCTCTGGATTCTCGGTATTACGCCAGGCACGACGCAGTGCTTGTCGCTCTGCACAATCGCGCAGTCGCCGGGCGCAGTACATGGCACCGCTGGGTCGACCATAGGAATCTCACTAGTAGCGACTCCTTAGCCAGGGCACTAGTCGACGCCCGTGCGAGTCGCATCGACGTAGCGAAGCGACTCAACGTGCACCGAAATCCTCCACCCCCAGTAGAAGAAGATGGCGGAAAGGATAAGAAAAAGAAGAAGGGGAAAGGCTCAGAGGCAGAGCCGGAAGAAGTGAAGCGGACGCCAGAAGAGGAGGAAATCTTCAGGAAAAAAGAAGCGGCTCTAGTGGCGGAAAAAACGTTTTGGGAGCGAGCATGTCGGGAATTAGACCGACTGTCCCAAGTCATTGGGAACTTAGACGAGAACTCATTCGGGAAATTAGAAGAGACTGAGAAAACTTATGGCTTCATACGGTTTCGTGGAATAAACTCTAGATGCAATCATCAATGAGCACAATCCACAATGTATAGTGTGGATCACTACGACAATGTATAGTGTACACCAATACTTGATAGTTAATCGCTCGGTCTTAGTCTTTTTGCTCTTCTTCTCAGAAGGTACAAAAAGGCTGAAAGACCTCTTTACTACTCGACCATGTAGTGCCTGAGGTAACATGACATGACATGAGTCACATCTACAACCGCAATTATGGCTTCTACCTTTTACCCCTTCTAATCTCACGTGCTACCAGCAGACGGGTCAGTGATCCTATTCGCTGATCGAAGGAGGGGCGTCCAAGAAAGGAATCCAGCACCAGGTGTAGCGGAACTTTTTCAGGGAGACAATGCGTCCTGTGCAACGAAGATGCATAAAGTTGCAAAGGATGGAGTGTTTTTGCAGCTTAGGACGAGTAAAGAATTTGAAGCAAGGAGGCAGAAAGTTGTAGATTATGACGGCAAATTGTGATGGTCTCAACAGCAATCAATCATTTTTTATCCATGTAGTTTACCTTTGAAGCTGAATGATTTCAAGCAACTTGCTCAAGCGAAAGACCTCGTTCGATCAGCAACTTCTCTCTTCAACGCCATCAGTCGTGCATTGGAACGATGCATCAGTTTCTCTTCTAACTCCGACTTTTGTCCGAAGTAGACGCTCAGGCGGACGCTGCGAGAACAGAGGAGGCGGGAGAAGAAGGCGTGCCGGAAGGTGGCTTCCCACCTACTGAGTATGCAGTTATCCGCGACACTCTTTTTGCAGCGACGAGCACGCCTAGTACGAGCAGTTCGACGCCCATGGAGGAAGATGCACCACCACCACCTCCAGTCGCAAATCCTAATGCTTAAGGCAGATATGTGGTTTTTGTCAATCTACTTGTCTGTTTCAGACAGTCTTTTGCCTTACGTTTTCTGTTTGTGTGTCTGTGAAACCATTTGGCTTCTACGGTGACCACGAATGGTCATATCAGGAGCACAAACATGACATGACTATTCCTATGTGGCATCCCTATCCATGAAACCAGAATCTTACTTGACTCGAGTCATTCTCTTCCTCTACTCAACATTGTCTGTACCAAAACCTGATCTCTACTAACATTTCGTCAAGTTCGGAGAGCTCGCGCTTTCCTTCGTGAATGACTTGACAGTCGTGAATGCGCGAGTGGAAACAGATGCTGCGACGTTCTTGTCCAAGCAGACTGTAGACGAGCTGCATGCCTTGGCTTTTAGTAGTGAACAGCCAGCGGATGGGGGAGAAGCACCACCAAAGCCGAACTTACTCGAGTTCCCGGCCATAGCAGAGCTGATGCCTGATGACGTGGAGTTTGAATACAGGCATAGGCCTGTGAAGTTGAGCTACACTTTGGAGAACAGCCAGAAGATAGAAGTGCATCCAGACGGCAGCTGTTTCGTGAAGTGGCCAACGGGTGGAGGGCCCGCTCAACAAGGAGGGGTGGGTCGGTCCGCCGGTGTAGCAGGCTCCGACGCCTGTTATTACGAAGCAGGGCAGGTAGAAGATAGCGAAGTGTGCCGAAAGGTGCAACCCGATGGCACATTTATGCGATTTTTGCGCAGCACAAGGATAGAGCTCTACTATGCGGACGGAACAGTAGCCTACCGCAATCCAACTGTCAGCGAATTAGCAGAAGTTCCGGCAGAGGGCGACGAGTGGCTAGCACACTTGCAGCTGTCGTACGGAAACCAGGACGTCACTGACGACAACGCAATTCAAGCGGGCTTGCCTGGTCACTGGGTGGTCACGAAACTAGATGGACGGCGAGTTGGGCGTGGGGACAATGTCGAAGAGCTAACGGAAGGTCTCAGAGTTGTGTTGAAGAATTTGAGGATGGTGGATGACGGCGAAAAATTCGAATACGATTTGAAGCCTGTGAGCACGGTGAAACAGCAGGACCCGTCGACAGGATACTGTTATGACACACTTGGGTTTTTTGGGACTGTACTTGATGTATTGTTGTAGAAGAAATAGAAGACAGGTAAGTAGTTCTAGTGTCTCGTAGCACTACGAAATAGAAATGAGTAAACTAAGTAGTAGAGCTGATACGTTCGGATTTACATTATCTGGCTGATCTCTAATTTCTGGTAAGAACGACGTCCGCCAGTGGCCTCATGATGACAGTAACTAGAGTGCTCATGTTTGACAGTAACTAGAGTGTCTCTAATTTCTGGTGACGACGTCCGCCACTGGGCTCATGATGCTGGAATCGGAAGACAAGAGCCAGCAGAGAGTCATAACGAACGACGCCACCGTTATCACAACACAAGCGACGGTAACAATACCTTACTTCATTACTCAGGGCACTAACGGCTATCGCTTGTGTTTGGTGGTAATGGAGATACTTATCAAAATTTGGAACCGTACAGGTGCCATATTTTGGCTTTTCGACACTCACTCATCAGGCAACCGCTGGCATCACTGACGTGATCATAGAGAAACCGGATGTGATGCCGAAAATTGTGATTGTGTGGGACAACTACAGCCTCCAGAGGAATACCAAGATGAGCATCTACGCAACAGACGGAAGCGTATTCGAGGTGACGCCAAAAGAGCTGAACCACGATGGCAAACTGGTGCCTTGTCCAGTAGAACACACAGCGACACACACAGCAGCGACGCTCAGACATGCAGTACTTATTTTACTGTTTCTTTTACCTAGAAAAATGGTTGTGACGCCCGCATTCGGAATTTGTGAATGCACCTTGTTGAAGATTGAACGCAAAAATCTCGAAAAGAAGCCTTAAAGACGTGTGAATACAATCAATCTTTCCCAAACCTTCTACTCCATCAGTCCTCGTCTTGCCTCGTGAAGTCTGACGGTCTAGGGGAAGTCGATGTTTTTACGAAAGGTGACGTCGATGAGCACGGAGAAGAGGCTCTTTTGAAGAGGGAGACGGATGCTGGGTTCTATACCGTGAATTTGACGCAGAATGAGATGAGATTAATGGACAAAGAAAGGAACAAATTCTGTCTTAACGGTGACCAAACTGTCGATTTTCAATTAGCGGTCAGCATGAGCGAAGACGGGAAATTCGAAGAGCCGAAGTGCGCGAAGGTATAGTACCAAAGTTGTAGATCTAATACGCATACGCAGTAGCTTTAAAAGGAGTAGACATACTTTGTACTATGCTGCTGATGAATAGAGAAAGGTCCCTTACTTGGCCAACCGACATCTCCCTGATCACCACCCCACAGCCCTTGCAGCAGTATCTATTGTCATCCAAACCACACAATAACTCCACCAACACCCCACAGCCATTGCAGCAGTATTGTCACCCCGAGGCTGCTTTTCTGCCAGTACCACCTACAGCGCCACCACCGAGATTATTCGTCATATACGCAGATGGCGAAGCAGAGGAGCTGGTGGAAAAAAAAAATGTGGACGAGGCCTTCTTTGCCGTCAAAGACATTGATGATTATGATGTTGAGGTGAACGATGAATGTTGATGTTCGCGAATTTTCTTGTTTTTGTAGTAGCGGTAGGTTGGTTCCTTCTCCACACAAACAATTTCTTTTCCCCATGTCCATAAACCCATTATTTTAACGCTTTTTTTGCGCAGGCTCAACTTCTTCCCGAGTCCCACAAGCACCAACTTCTTCAACCCATGTCCCACACCCTTTCATACCCCAGTCGTGTGCGTTCGTGACGAGGCACTGCAGTATCCTCTAGAGGGTTGCCGATCAAACACGATATACAAATCGTTGCCGACGATGCCACGTGGCCTAAGGTATCATGAGAAGATAGTCCTGCCAGACTGCGTGAGAGGAATATACTCACCAATGGACAAACTAGATGCGCCGATTATTGCAAGTGATGCGATTCCGGAGTTCACGTCATTCACGCAGTGGATCGAGTATCCTAAGGTACTAAAAATTCTTTACGTCATTCACGCAGTGGATCGAGTATCCTAAGGTACAACTAAATTTAATATTTTTTCTGGTGGAAAGAAAGAAACTAACCAAGTTTCGTTGTTGTCTTTATTCCACTATCGTACAAGGATTTTAACTGTTGAATTCCTCTACGACTTCCGAGTGTTCTGGAAAGAAAGAAACTAACCAAATTTCGTTGTTGTCTTTATTCCACTATCGTACAAGGATTTTAACTGTTGAATTCCTCTACGACTTCCGAGTTATGGTGAAGTTTTCCATTACACCTCTACTAATTTTTCCCATCCTCTCGTTCCATCTCCATTGGACCAATCCTGTTCACCAATCTCCCTACAGATAACAGACTCCCGAAAGGCAGAGTTTCTGCAGATCAAGAAGAATTATCATAGATGGGAACTCGAACACAGTGCTGTGTGGGCTGAAATACAGCGAAAAGAAGCGGAAAAAAAGGCAAAAGACGCAAAGAAAAAGAAAAAGCCAGACGCAGGTGCGTTATTGAACTAGTTATTAGTCTCATCGGACTCTTCCTAGACGTTCTTTGGCTCTGAGTCAATTTATGAGTCAGATCTTAGAAGACTCACTCTGAATTTATGAACAACTTTGGACCTTGTCTTCGCATTGTCGGTTCCGTAAGTATCATCCTAGACTTGGACTCTCGAAGGTCGTTGTAATAGATTCTGAAAGCGCGACGTCCTTGTGGCAGATGATCCGATCATTAGTTTATCAAGAGTAGAAATTACCTGTCAAAAATGTTAGCGAACCTTTTCTCACAATAGAAATTCCATTCCTTTTTTTCGTGTTTATAGCGGTGACTGACCGGACTAATCGGGTAAAGCACTGCTTAGCATAGTTAGAGTAGACTCGGAACTTCGTTTGTTTTTTGGATGTAGCAGCAGCGTTCCACTGCAAGATGGGGTAATAGTGTCACTTAGATTTTCAGATCGTCGTTGTCGACGCACTAAATTCCAAATAGATAGACAAATCAGCTGAACAAGGATTGGTTAGTTTCTCAATAGACCTGTAAACGAAGTTTTTTTTTATTGATAGAGTTTTGTACTTCGTCAGGTAAGCCATTAGTCTTTTCATCATTATGTAGATCATCGTCTCATAATTCAGGTTTATATCTGTTCTTTTCTTCCATACAATCTCACTGATACGTGATTTTGTCCGATATATGTTTCGGTCGTCGAAGTAGTGTTTGTTTTTTCGTGCTAGCTGGGTATGGTAGGTCATAGACTTCGTCCCTTATAGTTGAATGTTAGTGTCAGTCTGTGTGAAGCAAAATCACGCGACGAAGAAATTCGAAGTGAAAGAGAGAATATGTTTTTTACGATTCAAAAACAGGAAAAAAGGGAAAGAAAGAAGAAGCTGCGCCAGAACCAGTGGAAGAGGAGAAATATGAAGGTATAAATCATTCATAATGAGATGAGTGCAAAAAGTCTAAGTTGGGTACAAAACTCTTCAGCAGCCAACAATGTCCGCGAGAACACTCAGCGGGCCCTAACCTAACCTAACCTATTGTGTAGTTTGTTGTACAGTGCACAAACATGTTGCTTTGTTCAAAGGAAAGGAAAAAAAAATTACAATGACTGCTGCTCTCTCATGTATCTTTACATTGAAGTAGGAAAAATAGCAACTACGGGACCGGTAGGGGTACCCCTAGCACACAACAATGAGCAGTATGTCAACATTGAACTACAACAAGAAAATGACATCTTCAACTTCATCAACATTTGGCAAAACAACCATGGCAAAACAAGGTCCGCCATTTTCGATGGACCAGCTGATGGACAAAGTAATAGCGTTTCGAGCCCAAGAAGCGCCGCGAGTTCCGGCATCACGTATGTTTGACGACCTGGAGAAGAAGAGACCAGAAGTGATGGCTACTAGGATACAGGTATTGATGCTAGGTCTTTCCATTTGCATTTTTTACTTATAGGGAAGAGCTTTCTACGTTCTGCTTCTTGGAAGATCATGATTTACATTTTTTGCATGATGCGAGCAACAGAAGCGGCATGATCAAGTAGAAAATGAACACTTTGATGAAGATGCGATTCTTATCATATCATCCATTGGAACTCTCCCCACTTCAACCACTACAGAGCTCTCTCCGAGCAAAACGTGCGCGACAGGAAGTTGCGGAAAGAAGAGCGGAGGCCGACCGCAAGAAAAAGAAGCCGGCAGCAGTAGTCTTAGACGAGAGTCTGAAGAAAGTCGAGCTCACCGAAGAGGACTCGCAGAAAAAGCCAATGACTCATGTAGATCTCGGACTGAACTTATGCATGGACTTCAAATAGTACTTGGTTGGCTAGATGGTTGGCTAGGAGTTCAAGTTTGATGGTTCCAGCTAGCTAAGTGGCTAGTACGTGATTTAGTCCGACTGAGAACCAATGCAACGGCATCTATCGTTAAGGGATTGTGCCAACAAGATAATGTTGCGAAGTACACGATTATATGCAACTCCAATTTCTTCTTCACTTTCGTCTTCCCAACAAACTCAACAAACGACCGCCCATTTCTAATCCTCTTCAAGTATTTCGCTAGCCAGAAGGGCTTGAAGTTTTTGCTGGAGAGTGGCCTCTTGGACCCGGATGTGAGATCACATGTTTTGGAGAAGCCGAAAATGCCGGATCTAGACTTGGACCAGAAGATAAAGTCCATCTGGCAACCAAGACTAGTTTTCGAAGAGGAAAACGTGTATCTAGACACGCAGCAGCTATTTGAAAACTCTCACGCAGACTTCGACTACGGGTACGAACGAGGGCTCAGCCCAGAAAACACGGGAGCTGGAGGAGAGTACAACTACCATCATTCTCATTATTTTATCACTTTGTACCCAGGCACGTTGGCATTCTTGTAATGTCATTGTTCATTATATTTTAAGTACACTCACACGACTTCTTGTCCATTCGTTTCAATCCCACCTTTTCCTCTTTCCCAGTCCAATAGCCGCTGCGGAACACGAGAGTACGGATAAGAATTATACTGCGCAACTTCTAGCATCTGGCGGGAGGCCAATGGAGCAATCTGACTTGGGAGACGATACATTCTTTCTATGGCAACGTTTCGCAATTACTAGTGTTTACAGGACTATCTGTCACGATTATCATCAGAATTGCTTTTCCAATTGTTTCTTCTCGTCGGTAGGGCCCTACTGGAATTCTCGTCAGGAAGTAAATGCTTTCGATCTCAACTTTGATGCCTTGCTCACTTCTAAAACTTCCCAGTCCCCGTGAAGACCGTCGACCTAGTCGTTGTTCCAGTCCAAAGGGCCCGCATCCGGATAAGAAGGGTCCGCATTGGGATGTGTACGGTAACAAGCGAATGGTCGGCAAGCCAATATCGCAGGCATTCATCAGTGTGAATGACGCTTACTTGCAGAGGGAAGGACCAACAGACAAGAGGACGCGAACAAGCAGCTTTTATGTTTGGTAGACTGGTCAAGGTCGTAGTGTTCATGTTCTCAGATGTAGTTGAATTTCAAATTCATTGGCTTCTGTCTCTTCTCCAATCCAGTACTCCTTCACTCTTCTTAGAACGCTTCTAGTACGAGCAGCACAAAAACCTCTCTAAAGCCCAGTGAACAAAAAGAACGCTCTAGAAGCACCTGGCGTACAGCAAGTGTTGAAGAGCGGTTGCCACGTCCTTACCGGTGACCCTAAGCAGACGCTTGCACGCGCAAAAGGAGCTGTGCAGGCTCTGAAGACCGAGGATGCTTCGAAGGACCTCAAATGGGAGCTTTCCGCCACGATGCAAGGCTTGGGCGATCCGAATAAGCTAGTAGAAGCCGTCCCAGGTCATGTGCGCTTTGGTTTGTTGCGAAGAGGCGCGGTTTACCAGATCACCCTGCAACTGAAGAACCTAGACTGCGAACCGACGCGGTTTAACATCAAGCAGCCAGATTCGGAATACGTGAAGATTGCGTATTCACCGATGCCTGTCGCACCTGGGTTGTCCATGAACGTTTCAGTGGAACTGTGGGGATGGCATAGTGCGAAAATCCTGCAGGTGATCGAAGCCAGTTGCAAGGCAGCGATAGTTTATGATTGGCAGACAGAGATAGAACAACAGTTGAAGTTACTAACCGACAACGACATCGAAAGAGTCGTACTTTGTATCTTCTCAATGTAAATAATTTCATCAGTCAATCTTTATCTATCTATCACGTAATTTATTCGTCCATCGAGTACAACAGTACAATGACATCAATTCTCCGTTCATATTCCGAAGATCCCTGTTTCCGCTCGTGTAGTCGAAGCCGAGGAGTACGACCGCTTGGACGCTGAGAGTGTCCTCCTCAACGGAAAGCGGATTATGGGCTCGCACGTTCGATTACAGGAGTACTCTAGTGATAAACTTGGCGCAGCCTATATCGCGCCCAATGACTTCCAATCGATGGCGGAAGGCCACGGGGATGAGTCAGAGATGCTGCTGAAGCGACAACAGCAACTCAGGGTCTACGGCTCAGTCGAGCGCTCACGCGACGAAGACGGGGGTGATGACGTGCCACAACCGCTTAGCTACAGCGATCCGGAGGAGGCGATGTGAACAAGGCTGTGGAAGTTCGGTAGATCAAGCGTCTCAGAATATGCGAACTGTTAGATCAACTTGATATTCTTCAGAGTGAAATAAGTTACCTAGACTAGAAAAGCCATACAAGTAGATTCATCCAGACTCAGCAAAGGTAAATAGAATTTGTTTATCCTCTTATGATGTTTTGTAATCGTACACTCAGTTCCTGTTATGATATGAGGGAAGAAGAAGAGGTGTCGCCAGCTACCTCGAAGATGGGCCTTGTTTTTAGAGATTAAGATTACAGGATTTACATTACAGAAAAATTAGGATACTTTTATCTACACTAATAGGAGAATTAGAAAGTAGAACGACCACGTACACGATTGTAAGACTAGTATACCCAGAGCAGTGGGAGGCGAGAGGAGTACAAATGACACGCCCTTCTGCTCAAGAAAATGACAGAAATTAAGTATGACTAAAGACCGATGTGAATAGGGAAGAGAAATCGTCCTCGCCCCAGGACTTTCTCTCTATGACGTGAAGATACTCTGCGTATGCATGCTAGTTTGTTGTGCCATAGAATAAAGCTATTTGTTTAGCCAAGAAAAATCGGAATTTGATTTGTCAGAATCCTTGTTATTAAAGTGCCTAAGCCTAATCGTGCCAGACCTTGATATATTGGAAGACGTTGGATAGTTTTGAAGACACTAGAATTAGTTTGTTTCGTTATTGAGTATCGTTTTCTTTGTCAGATATCTTTTTCTCTGATTGATTATAGCATCCAAATCTCGTAATATCTATGCCTTAACATGTAATGTCGCGCCTCCTGAAGCATATCCAAAGACAACAATGCACATGCAGCAGCTTGAACAGATATTATCATTCTGTTTTGCATAGACTTTCTTTGATAACAGACACTATGAATTACTTACTCTCACTGTGGAGAATAGTACAAAGAAAAATCATTCTCATTTCATGTCCATACCAGATGACGCTACTACTAACTTCAAAACTTGAACTTCGCCGTTGTTATTAATCAAGAATGTCTCTTCTTCAACATCATGATCATCTTCATCACTTCCATCATGCATGACATACACAAAAATCTCCCCTGGGAACCATAACGCCCAACTTGTGCAGTTTATGTTAGCCTTCTAGTGTGGGAAGCAAAGAGGCACGCGACGAAGCGCGGGGGCAATTAAGCCACAACACTTTTGTTCGACCTTTTAACAATCGCATCCCGATTTTCCTCCTTTTTTCGGTCTTCTGTTTTCGGTTCTACTTTGAGGCAGTAAGCTTGTTGAAACAGAGAAGAGAAAGAGAAGAAAGACAAAGAAAGGAACTGATCTCTACTGCGATAATGTACCGAATACAGCTGTATAGATGAAAATCCAGGTCGTAACCGATTCATTGAGGAAAGAGGAGGGAGAATGTATTTTGTACTAAGGTTACTGCGGAGATAATCCCTGTACCTCCACCACTATTTTTCTTCATCAAAAAGCCTCGATCCGATTATGTACTTAATGGCTTCTCTTATCGTACGCTGTGTAGCAGTAAAAATTTCTTCGGATCACTTCCCGCGGGGTAATTTAATGGAACTATTCATTGCGGCAAGGTGATACTGAAGAAACATGAAGGCATTCTGTTGCTATTTGCAGGACAGTCAGCTGCGACACGGCGTCTAATATGGACAGTGTCAAATCTGATCTTTTCGTTGCGACTTTATTCAGTATCCGATCGGTTTGGCTTACAGCGGTTTCTAGACCAATGACATCTGATAGATTAGTGTACAGATGAATACGGTGATATGATATCGGACGGAGTGATTTCCGGTTTTTGAGAGACAGCGACGCTTTTGAGTGACCGAGGAGGAGAAGGAGAGGATACAAAACAGAAATTAGTCAGTTACACTGAATGAACTACTTACCTGTAGTACTTGAGACCTACGTCGCGAAGGTCCTCGCCCCAGATAATCCCAGCCCTTGAATTGATTGAAAAAAGGTAGCACGACGAAGCTGTGGCAATGATTGCTTCCAGGACTAGTTTTGAGATTTTTCTCTCGACACTGCAAAGATGGAAAAACCCGATTGATTTGCGTGGCGGCTATTGTTTTATATTTTTTCTTATGATGCTCATGACTCGGGCTCTTCTCTTGTGAAAAGCAAATGTCTCAGAGACCGAGAGCGACACCTCATCGATCTGAGTACTGCCGGTCGGCGAAATCGCAAGTGGTCGTGTGAAGGAGCGCGCCTTCAGCCGATAAGCATTTCGCAAGATGTGGCTAACGTCGATCTCGGTGGAGCCACCGGAGGCTTTGGTCATCCTCAAGTGGGGCCGTGGTGCGCATAGCGTGAGCTACAATTATGTTCTTTGATAATTAACTATCCCATCTTACGAACAAACACCGGAAGCTCGATTAATCTGTTTTCCTGGTTAATAGTTTTCAGTGTCATCTTTATTCATGACCATGCTAGCTCGTCTCCGCTTAATACTGCTCTAAGTTCCCGATGGTGAATTGTCTGACGGTTCCGCAGTGCCTATGCTCGTTAGTGCCCGCGACTTCCGCGTCCTCGCTTGGAGTGCGTTCGATCGAGCGTGCAATAATGTCACGGGACAGTCGATTCAGTGGCAGGAAACAATTTCACCTGGTGAAAAAGTAGGGGTACAGAGGACGTTATGAGAGGGAATAGAGTTGGTTATGGGGTTTCGATTTTCTCTGTCCGTTGCTGCTAAGTGGTAGCTCTTACAGATTAAAGACGCTACTAGTAACAACCAAAAAAAAGACTCATTTAGTTCTGCTTGAAGATAGTCATTAAGTGTGCGAGCTTTCTATTGATAGCGGACCACTCTAACATAGCAAGGAGCGCTAGGTATTGCTGGTGACTCATTCGAACATAGCAAGGAGCCCTGATAATGTGCTAGCTATTGAATGATAGTGACTCATTCTAACATAGCAAGGAGCTCTCATTCTAACATAGTGACTCATTCTAACATAGCAAGGAGCTCTCATTCGAACATAGTGACTCACTCTAACATAGCAAGGAACAACTATGCGAGGAAAGAAGCGTGGTGTTTTTGACCTCGGAGCCGGTAGCGACGTGCGAGTACATCTAGAGTTTTCTTCCAATGTTGTTGAAAATAGTAAGGTGAAAGGAACTTGTTCTGCGACTGCGAGTATCATGAATAGTACTACGAAGAGAGTGAGAATAAGCGGTCCAGCCAGTAGTTCTGGCGAGGAAGGAGAAAAGAGCGAGAAGACGAAGCAATCCGAGGAAAAGAGCCGGAGGATCACTACACCTTTCCAGAATCCGCAGAATGTCACCACGACTAGCAGTGCTAGCAGTGTTGCCAACCCTTCGAGTACAACTCTTACTGCGTCAAGCTTTTCTAGTACGGCTGCGCCAGCTTTCTTCGCATCGACTCAATCTGCAGTCTATCCTGGACCAGCAAAGTCTCCGCACAGCGCATCAGCAAAGTCTCCTAAGTTCCAACATGACAAGAGGCGTACTAGTGATGATGTCCTCTTAAGGGACAATGTTGCTAGTACAGGAGGTCACATCAGCGGCGCTCCCGGTACTCCTACAACAAGTCATAGTCATAGTCCTCTCGACGTGCCTACAACCACCAAGTCTCCCCATAGTCAAAAGCGAGGAGTTGTTAGCGCAAAAACTAGGAGCCTATATGACCGAGACTTGGCAGCAACGGCTGCGCGATGGTCGATGCAGTCGGCTGGGTCAAGTGGGCGACCGAGTTCATCTGAACCTAAATCTGCTCAGAGACCAACGTCTGCTCAGAGACCAACGTCTGCACGTGCATGCAAAACGAACAGAACAACTTCTAGTTCTAGTACTTCTGAAGAGGTAGTAGTAGAAGTACCATTTTTACGAGAAAGCGGAGAACTGCGAGAACAGCTGGCACAGTTGGGAAGAGAAAACAAGTGGAAGATGAGCAGTCCTATCGACTCAAGCAGTCCAGAGGATGCTTGTTCTGTTGAGAATCGTCAGTCTTCGGAGGATGTGGACGATGCTGAGGATTGCAATAATCGCTCAGAGAGAGACCGGGAGGACGATGTTGCCGAGGATGTTCTGATGCCTGCAGATAAAGATGTGATTGGAGCAGAATTCTATAAGAATAAGGATAAGGGCTACAATGAGGAGAGAGACCGGGAGGACTTTTACTCACAGAGCAAGAGAAGCTCAGCAGGGTTACAACAGCATGGCATCGCGAAGAAAAATGATAGTACTTACACCCTTCGTCATCCTCTCGGCACAGAAGACGAAGATGTTGATGAGATTGAGAAGTATTTTCGTCAACATCAAGCGGGCATTGATACAGAAGATCATGTTAAGGGTTTCCGAATTACATCCCTCACTACCATCCTTGGCTCCTTTTCCAGGGGCAAATATGTCAAGGATGTTCTGCAGAATGCAACTCGGCAACCTCTAATCATGACTTAGAAGGCGCTATACCTTTCGACGATGATGATTTGTTGCGTCATGAATATCGGCCATCTTCTTCCTCTACTACGCGTGTTCCCAATCGACCTCAGGTGGATCAAGAGCTAAAAAACAGGGGAACGGCTTCATCCACAGGTGCTTTAGTCAGCGAGATAGACGACTTGCTGGAGGAAGGAGATGAAGTCCTCGGCAGGGAGGACCTGATTCGTGAACACGACTGGCTCTGTTCGATCTACGCGGATAATGCGAGCACTATGGTTTGCAAGATGTCTTATTGCTAGAAGTGGTTCGTTGACGACTCAGACGTTGGATGAAGACAGTGTGCCTTTCTTGCCTCTACCTTTTCACTAGATTTATTTTCTGGGGCTGTACCAGTTGTACCTGTACTCGTGCTGAAGTTTACTGACATTCTCATCCTCTTGGAGGTACCACATCTCTAACTTGTTTTTAGAATCTTTGCGAGGTCGGATTGCGGTTTTAGAGCAACAAGCGAAGGCAGCGAATCGGCAGTCAGTGCTCCCACAAGGCACGATTGGAGCGTTGCTTCGTGCGAAAGAGCAGAAGGGCAAGAAAAAGGAAGGTGATGGGGCATTAAGGCTATATTTCGATTTGCATATTATTGGAAGGAGCTACTAAGTTTCTCTGTTCGAGGACCTCTGGCCTAGTACTAGTTTTGCAGAGATGAATTTGAAGATTTAAACGAATTTAGAAACGCCCATCAAAAAGTTCTCTAATAAAAGCAGATCAGAACCCCACCCCCGTCAAGGACGGCCACAGTGCAGCTCACAAGGTTTCGCGACCAGTTTTTGGTAGACGGGTAATCGACACCTCCCTAGGTAGTCACGCACCGTCTTATGACAAGAAAAAGTGCACTCATCCTCAGAAAATTAGCTAGTTTCCTAGTCTTAAGTTCTAGCTAATTGTTCCTTGAGTAGGAGTACACTTTTTCCTTTCATACGTCTTGGGCAACGATTATTCCGTTCACGGACTCCGCGGATCCACGACCAAGGAGAGCGAGTGCTCTGCGCGTCTCTTATGCCGCAGACGATGCTGGTGGAGGTGGTTTGGCGGATGATGGAGGTGGTGGAGAGAGATCTAGTTCTAGGTCTTCCTCTTCTATCATGGCAGAAGAAAAGAAGAAGATGTTGAAACCTAGTTGTACTTCGGCAACTGACACTTCTAGGGCAAGAAAGCATACCAAGAATGCGACACTTGGTCGTCCAACATCCCAAACACGCACAGCAGATCGCGATGGCGCTTGTAATTATTCAGTCGGAAGCAAAACCATAGGACGATGTAGCGCGCTCGTGGAGCGCGCTAAGAAGCTGGAGAGGCGTCTAGAGACGCATGCGGAACTCGAGGCCGAGCGACGGAGGGAGGAGAGGTACAGGAAGCAAATGCTGGGTTGGCAGCTGACTTCGGATGAAGCGGAGCTCGTTGTGCAGGTATGGACAGGACTCATAGAAACCTCACAGGACTCATAGAAACCTCTACTTAAAGGACCTCATAGAAACCTCACAGAAACACATCAGACACTCATGATTTCTTACGTTTGGACTTCAGTTTGTTTCTAAAAAGTGACGTGACGCGTGATTACTTGAACCTGCTCTGGCGAGGTGCGGCGCAGAACGCTCGGAAGAGTTTGCGTGAAGCAGAGACTAAGAAGATCACGAGGATGAAAGTAGACAAAGGAACAAGTGGAGGTAGAGTAGCTACGAGTGCGAGTTCGACTGCAGCAAAAAGTTTTTCATCTTCTTCTGCACATAGCAAAGGGACGAGCAAGAAGCAGCACACCAAAAAACAGGTAGCCCCGAGCAAGAACAAGGGAGATGCAGCTGCTACACCAAGCGTCGATGAACAAGCCACCTGTCCTGAGGTGTTGCGCCGACCACCAGACACAAACAAAAGAAAAGTTCTTCCACCATTAAGAGAAGATGGAAAAGAGCAGGAAGATGTTGAGACTGGTGTAGAGCAAGCTGCGATATCTGCATCAGCTGGCCTGTTCGATTCACCCGCTTCAGCATCAAAACCACCTCCTGCTCCACCCAAGAAAAATAAAGAGACCAGTAGCACGTCAAAATCTCCAAATACAAGGAAGATCCACGTGCCACGCACTAATGAAGAAGTCTGGGCCACTCTGCGTGCCTCGTGGGCCAATATTAGGACATTTGAGGCGACTTTGCGCAAGAATAAATCTTCAGGTGGTGCCGGTGGCTCGCCGTCTGATGATGCAGCTGCCTCAACCTGTCCTCCGACTGAATCTCCAGCAAGTCGCGGAGGACGTGTACCTTTCTATTCACCGTCTGCAGCATCCTCGTTGCCGCCTGAAGGGTCGCCAGAAGGGTCACCAATACTAGCTTCATCATTTTCTGTTGTAGCACCACATGCTACAGCGCCGCATGCCAGTCCTGTGCCGTCCGCTTCAGCAGTTGCGTGCAAATCACCTCCTGAGGCTGTTGATCTTAGTGGCAAGAATAGTACGAACACTGCTGCTTCCGGGGCAAAAAATCCAGCAAAAGGTGAGCAAGGGCAGAACTTTGAACATCCAGCATCAAGTTCATCTTCGTATCTTTCTATTTCTGCTCAAGTACCCCTAATCCGACAACAACTCCGTAAGCGGTACCATCTTGCCTTGACTGCTTTTCGCGCCTTCGACCTCGATTGCGACAACGTTCTGTGCTTTGAAGAGTTTGCGTATAGTTTGACGCAGAAAATTGGAGCGTCAGAGGAATGCGTGGACCATCTGTGGGAGCAAGCGCATTGCCGGTCATCGGGAGTTGTGCGGTTTGTGGATTTCACGCGTGTGTTTTTTCCCAAGAAGACAGGTCCGGGAGGAAAGGCGGGAGGGGTACGGGGAAGCAAGGTCCTATTTGATGAAAGGAGTTCGAGTTTCGCAGAAGATATCATGATCCGTACTCAGGAAATAAAATTGTACTGCTTGTTCCAAGACGATCAAAGAGATGAATAACGGTTGTCATATTTATCATGAAAAATTGATGATGGGACTAGTACAGGAGTGATCATGATGATTGTTGGACGAGACTTCTTCCTGCCGTCCATCTACTTTGCACGCTTCACAGGTCCGCACACTGGTTGCGCTCCGTCTTCGAGAAAAGCCCAAAACTGCATCCGCAGTTGTGGGTATTTTAGAACCTGATACAACGCATGAAGTCCAAGAGGTGCTAGGAGACTGGCTACAGGTGCGTGCGAGATGCTTCTTCACGGTCCCTTCAGGAGAGTCGCCAAGTGATGCTGTTGGATCGCCAGGAGCTGACGAAGACGAGGGTTCTGCTGATGGAGTACTGCCACCGAGTGCGAGTGCAGGGGATCATGTGGCATCATCGAAGCCGGCTGACGGCGTGCCATCTTCAAGTGCGAAGGATGCAAGACATAGACATGGGAGTCAGCAAGAAGGAAGCTTAGAGTGGGTTGAAGGGTGGTGTCTGAGAGGAGATCCTGTCTCAGGGATGCAATTTGTGAGACGCGTGGAGTCTGCTGTTACATGATTGATGTTGATGTGGGATTTCCGTCTCCCACGGGCATTCATAGAATTGAAGCAAGAGAAAAACTTGAATCAACAACCCGTGTTGTAAATACGATTTCCGCGCGAATTCTGCAAAACATAACTTTGGTGTCCGACTCGTTTGGGAAGGCGACAGAGGATGGTTTAGCTATTCTCTACCAGGAGGTGTGAGTTGGAGTTATCCCCAAAAGAAATCCCGAAATTCTTTTTACCCGCAAAAACGTGTTAAGACGAATTTTATTTTTGCTCGTGCTCTCTAAAATGTGCCGTTCACTAGCTTATGTACTTCAGTAGTAACGAAACGAATAAAAGAGCTTTAGCTTTCTTATTTTTCAACTTTTCTAGTCTTTATTTGATAGTAGTCTCTACTAAGTTAGTCGCCCCGCGACTGCTTTGGTCTTACTCGTTAACTCAAGTACTCAAATACTCATTTGTCCTAAGCGTAAGCAATAGCGGCCCCGTAGTTGTACTTTCTGTTCTGTATTTACTTTACTGACTTGTCCTGAAATCTTAGTGGTGATAAAGAACTGTCTTCCTTGTTCCTAGTAGTGATTGCTGTCTCTTCTTCCTTAAGGTTAAACTAAAGTGATATTGAGTAATTACTTCCTTTTAGTTGTCTTCTTAGAGTGTTTACTTCTACTTCCTGAGCTTCCGCCCTACGGGGTGTCTGTTTGAAACATTAGCTTTCTTTCTAAGTTAGTTCCTCAGTTATCTGCTTGCTGTGGTGAGTCCTTCATGCTGTCTCCAGCTTTTTTGTTGATTGCGAAACGTACTGCGCCCCTATAGGTGGCCAGAAACAATTTCTGAAATCTCCAAATCCAAATCCAAATCCAAATCGACAGCGTGTATCCTTTGCTTCGCTAGTGACACATCAAACTGTCGTACTTGTGTTGGGTTTCCCTTATTTTTATTCGACATCAACAACGGAAGAGTTGAGACATCCTGGAAAGCACAGCTCCCCTCGCCTGCTTTGTGTACTACTGAACATTGTGATGATGTCATTATTTCGATTGACCGCGATTGAAATACGGACAACCAAACAAATGCATGTGCGGTTATGTGGAGGCTGAAATGTGACGCAGCAAGCCTTGTCGCCGGCCGAGATGCAGGCGGTGCTCAAGCGGCCGCGTGGCGGATTCCTGTTGAGGGCGAGCGGCATCACGAGCAGCTATTCGCTCGGCAGTTCACGGCCATTTTTACGCGGCTTTGACAGCAGACAAGAAAGGTTGCTTTCTGCGTCTTGTTTTTCTGGGTCATGCGAGAAGCCCAGGAGGCATGACGTGGCACACCCTGGAGAACGGTACCACTACACAAACGAACGCTGTCTTGTGCTCGAGGAGACGATCTTGTGGTTTATAGATATGGTCACGAAAGAGGCGCCAGGGGTTTTCGAGTTCAAGAGACTGCCGCGTTACGCGCGATGCACGTTGTTGTATCGCCAGCGCCAACGGAAGCAAGAAGCGGTGGACGCACAATTAGCGTCCGCCACCAGCACTGTCGTCGCAGGTGGTATTTCTTCTTCTGGACTGGAGCGATCGAGTACGCACCCTTTCGCCACGGAGCGGAGGGAAAGTTGCAATGAAAATGATGGTTCCTGGTCAGCGTTGTCAGTGAAAAGCTCGAGAGTGCGGCACGGGAAAACGGGAAGCTTCTTCTTCTACTTCCGCGCAAATGACCCAGATGTCGGGATGGTCTTCGCCTGCCATCCGCAGGGGAAGATATTGGTTTGCGCTCCCAGCGAAGTCCGGCTCCGTGGTCCCAGCAAGCACGTTTCTCACAGGTATTGGGTGGCGCAGAAAGACATTCCGCGCGCTGTCCATCAACTAGCGGTGTCCGCGCCTACGAGGAGTCAGCTAGATACTTCCATCGCCGAAACTCTGGAACGCGTGAGGAAGGAACTTCCTCGTAAGTCTTTGAGCGAGTGGTGCGAGGCGCAGCTTTCTGGTTATCATTATCGTACTCACTACTCGCGTCTGCAGAACTTGGTTTATACGCTTTACGGGCCTGCGGGTGTTTCCTTTGAGGAGGCCGGCGAGTTTGGCTCTGTCTACAATATGACGGTAGACGGGCTTCGCTGCATTCACCGCTCCGGACGGTTGCTCCCGCGGGGCAGCAGAGTCAACGCGCATCGAAACTTGATCTCGACGAGCGGGAGTCGTATCGAAGTGCCATTCGACATCGCGGACGAGTTCGATTGCTTTGTTGCAATCATTTACGATGGAGAGGAGCCTACGCAAATGCGTATGAGGGGTGCATATTTTCTCTCGAAATATTTCTTGCTTGACGGGGGTCGTTTGTCGATCGGTAGGGTCGGAGGCCGTACGGGGATGACACTGAGGCTTCCTGATGTGTCCGTCAGGGAAAGTGTACTCGTCAAAAATGCTGTCAGCTGTAAGAAGTCACAAAGCCGCAAGCTCCTTTCTGACCGCGCGGCGACGTACTTTCTCGACTTGCGTGCTGGGCATATTGCTAGTAGCGTCAACGCAGTCAAGGACCTCTTGGAGAGAGTGCGCTTGGAAAACTTAAAACTTGAAGGAGCCAGAACAAATTTTCCGTAAGAGTGAACTTTCTGTGAAGGGCAACCGAATGATATTTCCTTTTGGGAAAAAGTTACGCTTAAGAGAGATTGCAACGAGCGACGAGGTAGAAAGAAACTGTAAGTTGTATCCTCACCAATTCATCGCTTCTCTTTCAAAATGGCAGAAGCACACTCGTATCTACATCATGAGAGACATGGCAGTCATTGCGGTTTGTGTTTTTACGTCGAGCGTAGAGACTGGCATGGTATTAGTAGTAGACAGACTGTTTTTACATCGTGCGTAGAGACTGGTATGGTAGGATTCGCAATGACGAGGCTACAATGATCTTAACACTGATCTCCGATCCTGTTCACTTTGATCCTGATCATCGATCCTGATCATCTTGGTACTCCGATCCCTAAAACAAACTAAATGCAGACATTGGTGGTAGACTTGTTTACTTTTGTTACAACTTTGTTTTATTTTAGATGATTATGGACGCTAATGAAAAATTGAAGTGAAGAAGTGAGTAATCACGAAGCAAGCACTTTTTTGTCGAATTGACACAGACGTAAATCTTGTAAATACCGAATTCAACGACCTAAGTGGATTGAAATTGATCAGCAAACGAGAAATGGCATCTCCGGTAGTATAGTGAAGATCGATTCGGACGAATCCGCCTTCCGGCCACACGACGAAGTCGACCACGAACTCGAAAGTGTCGAGTTCGACTACCACGAAGATGTTGGTCTATTCCCGTTTCGAGGACCTTGGGGGGAATGTGGTCCTGGACACCAAAAAAGTCTTCGGTAGACGCATTGAAGACGAACTCAAAAGAGACGGCGAAGCTCCTGCTGCGGAGAAAAGGCTGTTGCGGAGGGAAATAATAAAGCCAGAACCGGAACAACAAGATGGCACAATTAAGATTTGTATCCCTGGTTCAGAAGTTCTTCAAATGTTGGTGCGCGTTCTGAAAAGACCGGCAAGGATCATCAACGTTATACCAACTTCCTGGTTGGATGGGGAGCCGTCCTCCAGTCAAATTTGTTATCCTGTTTCAACTTGTCCTAGTCCTGTGGACGATGGTGCAAAAGGTGAAGACGAAGACAATACTTGGGATCACGGCCAAAAACATGTCCAAAAGAAGATACCTGACCTGGTGGTTTTGGCTACCTGTGGTGCTGGTATCTCACAGAATAGTACAACTAGTAAAGAGAGGACTACAACATATGGAGGAAGAGAGAAGCGTCAATATGTTGAAGAGAACGAGCCTGTTTTGGTGTACAAGATCGTCTACGACGTGAGTTTCGAGAAGCTATACAATTGTTCCGAGATGTGCATCCTTGATGGGGAAGAGCAAATTTATGAGGTTAGAACGGTTTTGTCTCCCTCTCCTATGTATAATCAATCTTGGTTGAGAAGGACGAGACTATCTACGCTGGAGGTCCCTCTTACAAGGTTTTATTTAGTATCTTGCAAATGTACATCACGTGTTTCTTACATTCCCCCCGTAGAATGTCATTACATTATACTTAAAGAACGGTTTTGTCTCCCTCTCCTATGTATAATCAATCTTGGTTCAGAAGGACGAGACTATCTACGCTGGAGGTCCCTCTTACAAGGTTTTATTTAGTATCTTGCAAATGTACAACATCGCGTGTTTCTTACATTCCCCCCGTAGAATGTCTTCATTACATTAAATAGTTAAGGAGTAGATCATGTCGTGTAAGAAAAGTTCACTAGCCTAGAAGATTGCTCGTGAAAATAACGGAGAGGAAGAAGTGACTTAAGGAGTAGATGTCGTGTAAGAAAAGGGCACTAGCCTAGAAGATTGCTCGTGAAAATAACGGAGAGGAAACTTCTGTCACTTCTTCAACGTCGTTCATATTGTCACCGACTACGACAGCGACGGCGAACGGAGACCTGGAAAGAAGACTGTGAGATGCAGGGAGTGCGCGGACCGCTTTAGAAGACTATTTCCGGGAGGTGAAAGTGGGAGTCTTACTTCGTCAGAAGGCTATTTCCATGGAGGAGAAGAAACGGCCTTTGTAGTTTCTGGAAGCGGTCCATTAGAAGGGTTTGCTAAATTTGCGCGTAAGAGGTACCGAAAACTGCGTCAGCATATGCAAGCAAAAATGCGGGAGATATATCTACCTACCAGGAGCAACAACACTACAACAAATAGAGGTAAAGCGAAGCAACAAAGACCTGCGACGGCGACAAAAAAGAACAGACGGAGAGGGCGGAAGGGCCAGAGCGCAAGAAATGGCCCGGTCGAAATAACCAGCAGAGGGCAAGACTTCGCGCCAGCTGGGCGTACTGCTGCACGAGCAATGCCACCTGATCAACGCGGAGACGAACGTCAGGGAGGTCAGGGAAACGTGATATTCAACATGAAAAACGATGATGTAGAGGTGGAGGGGGAGGAAAATGCTCGTCCACAGCAAAGAAGAGGAACTTCAAGACGAAAAGTGGATTGGCAGCATTGTCGCACGTGGGGGAATGACGGCTTTTTTGAGTTCATCTACACTTATGGTGGGCAGTATATGCAAAAGATTTTTGTTATTACTCACTTTGCAGGGAAGTCGTAGGTCGAACCCGAATCGACTGACATCGTTCGTCATTACGCACTTTTTTTCGAACCGACGAAGGAGCGAAAATATCTGAGCTACAAGGAGTTCGTTCTTGCTGGCAGCAGCTCAACTAAGATAAAGATTAAGATGTCTGAATAGAGGAGAAGGGCCTCGGCCTGCCTCTAATACAAACATTACTCGGAGCCGATGCAGGCGAACCGGCAGATCCCTGAAGGAAAGCGCAGCCATGACGATGGCCTCTTAGGTCTAGACTACGTAGAGCCAAAAAACCGAGTAGATCTAGACATGGACGCGATGATCGCTGAGGCCTATTCTCTAGGACGACTGTGTCCAGATCTCAATTTAAGGTCGTTTGGAGGAATTGGGCTAGTAATATTTTATCGTGTGTTGTAAAAATATTTTTCCAAATATTTGATAGCCGCGCATAGTCTTTCTATAGTGGCCGAATGTACGGCTCCTCCGATATTCGTAGATTTGTGGCCGATTGTGCCGTCTTATGCGTCCCCAGTATGTAACTTGGATGATTTTAGATAGGTTAATTAATTGATTGAAAGGGCGGTGGCATATAGTCCTAACGCAAAAAAAAAAATACAGTGGTCTTCCGAGTGGCCATATCAGGAGCACACGCATGAACGCGACATGTAGATGTGGTTAAGATTATTTCAAAGGCGGACAATGAAGTGTGCTGTCTGTTAAATAGGTGTATCATGTCAGGCTTTTTTCTTTTTGAAAATACATGGCTACCTAGGTCCACGGATTTGGCTCTGGTATATTCCAAACAGAATTTTTGACTTATGTTCGATTTTATATAGCGTTTCCATTCCAAGCGTAATTCCAAACAGATTTAGATTTTTCGATATAAATTAGTTGCCTCATGTTCTAGACCTCCAATTTTTGGTAGTTTGCGCGTGCATCTACGAGAACAGGTTGCCCTTGATTTCCTCAACCCTGCGACGACCGAAGTAACAAGTGAGCGCGTGAACGATGAGGAGATACTTCGGTATTTAAGGATAACGCCAGTCCATCTTTTGGAACATCAACATCTTTTGGTTAGTTTCCGGGACTTAGAAGCTTGGGATAGTTTCTAGTACTTGAAAACATCCCCTAAAAGATGCGCCAAGAGAAGATGGGTTCTGGGTACAACCTCTAAGGTATAGGAACGTCCCTGCTTGGTCCGTGTTTCAAGTGCCTGCCGTAACACAATCGGAGCATGAAAAGTGGCATGGAAATCAACACAGAATGCAGGGACCGCGTCACGACGATAGCCACTGGATAGAGTCAGAAATTCCCTACCTCGTACCCTTAGAAAGAGGAGGACGAGCAACTAGTACGGAAGAAATTGAAATAGCAGGTAAATCCGCTGAGGATGGTTTCGCTTCCGGCATTGGTTCGCAAAGGAGATATCACATCTTTCACCCAACATCTGCCGAAAATAGTCGTGTTGCACATAGAAGCGCGAGTTCGTCATCCACTCTCTCCTCTTCTCCTCTGACAACCTTGTCCTTGCTGAGGGAGTTGCGAATGCAGAAGAGTGAGAGGGAGGAAAGCGCTACGGCTGGGAATATTAAAAGTTGTGGGAACAAGAAGGAGAAGGAGATGAGGACCATGCTGAAAAAACTGCGAAATCCCGCTGTAGACTTCTATGAAGTCTTGCCTTGCACGTGCTGCCAACCTCGTTCGCCAGGGACTGTTATAGAGGAAACAAGGAAGCAACACCGAGAAGAAAAAGGTCCGCTAACAAGTCTTACGGAAGCAGGTAAAATGTAGTTAAATATGTGCCAGGGATGGAGGCCCCTCCTCCCGCCCCTGTGGATGGCGCTGTGGTGGCACCGGCGCGCCCTTTTTTCCGCTGTGGTGTGAGGTTTTGCGGGGGGGAAGGCCTCAAAAGGCGGCGCCGGAGTTCCCTTGCGGCTCTTCGCATGTGCCTTACAGGCGTCCCATCTCCTGGACCCTATCGCGGAGAAGGCGCCTCTTGCTGGGTTGCCCTGATCCCCGCCAACTGGTGGCCGCGTCAGGTTCCACCAAACGCCCGGGGAGGTTTAGGACCAAGGGCTAGGAGGGGTAGGGGCAAGGCGTGCCCGGCGGGGTTCTGTCGGATACGTGGCACAGGGCGACGGGGTCAAGCCTTGCCACCTTTGTCGCCTTCGGAAGCCTTCTACCCCTGGCCGTCGGTGTTTGAACGACTCCAAGGACTGGGGTTCTTTAGGGCACAGGCAAGAAGACGCAAGAGAGCGGAGGTGGGCGCTTGGCGGCCTCCTCGCCCGGCAGTCCTCCAAAAAAGGGTCGGGGGCTAGATGCCCCCCCGCCGCCTCCTTAGATCAGGGGTGGCCTCTAGCCCTGAGCCCTGGGGCATATATGCTTCGTTGATAGTTTTTGATCATCCTGGTCTTGTTCTTCCTACCATGTGCATGTGCTGTGGTAGTGCAGCTACTTTGAGTCCTTTTGGTTCCTCCTTGTCCTTGCTTAGATGAAGAAGTTAAAGTTTTGCGTCGAGTGTCTAAGAATCTGGATTTGCTCGTTCGTGATGCGGTTAAGTTCGGCTTAGAAGGCGAAGGGAGTTTCACGAAGCACCACTTTACTGGTACGGAGAACGAGAACAAAGACAAACAGGAGAACACCCAGAATATCGATACTCTATTCATCAACGGTAAAGCCTGGCACCCTGACGAGGATGATAGGCAACAGGAACAGGCCGCTGGTGGGAATCAAGATGAAGAGGCTCCTCTAGACGACGAAGCGGATGCCGTGAGGGTGACGAAGCCCGCTTATTGGTGGACAGATTGGGTGGAATTCAGAGGTGGTGGCTGCATGTCGGCCACTTGGAATTTGCGGTATCTTGCCGTCCTCTCTCTCGTCGGCGCCCATTCTCTGGAGGACGTAGATATTCGGGATGACTTTTTGCTTGCAGCAGGTAGAAGCTCGGATGTTGTTGAAGAAAAGGAGGGTGTAGAAGGCGAGCACCATGATCCTGTTGTCGATGTTCTTGGCTTGGTGGACCCTCATGACTTTCTTGGAGATGCACACTCATCCGTTGCATCCGTTCTCGGTTCTTCCGATGAAGAACAAGATGAGGAAGACGTAAAAGAGGTAAGGGAACTCCACCGAGCCATTTCGGAGCTTTTTCGTGTGATTGAAAGTGCATTCGCGCAGTTTTTGGTAAAACCACTTTTGGCACGTGCGAGAGATCCTCCCGTCTTTAAGAGAATAGTGCTACAACTACAGACTTTAGCAATACTTTGTACATCCTCCTATGTGAAGATTTCAAGGCGAAAGTTACCAAAGGGAACAGCGAACCTATGTTATAAGGCAGCACAACTATGATCAAAGATCTTCACTCCTGCCGCACACACGTCTCGTCCCCTAATGTTTCTGAAAGAATGGATGTGCAAGGACGAAGCTATAGTACGACGCACACGGACACTTTTCTGGAAGGCGGCCTACACGAGGTTGATCGTCCGAACTACGGAGTGGGTGGTGGATGGCGACCAGCAGTTTCTCGGAACACGAGAAGGAGCTAAGAACAGTGTCTATTTCATCATCTAACCCACCTCCTAAGAAGTCTCCATTGTTTCATAGCTTTCCTTCTCAAGTTGACTTCAAGGTATTACGGCAATGTTACAAATATTGATGAAGACTTCGTTGGGGTTGATAAATTTTTTCAACCAACGTAGTAGTTAGCGCTCTAAGATTGAAAGGACGACTTCGTACACAGCTTCGAGCCCTGGATGAGACCGACAGGAAGATTATACGATGAAAAGCAGGATGATCCATGGTGGCTTCGTAAAGGACTTAGTGAAGTAATGGCGGATAACTGTAACTTCGATTAAGGCCTCTGGTACAAGAAATCCATCCTCTAAATAGCTTGCCCAGAACTCACTGTCGTTGATCCGAACCCCTGGAGGTTGAAAACTCTTAACCCGTTAGGTGGTTGAAATATTGCGACTGCCCAAAGGGTTAGTGTTGGCCTGGTTCTTTTTTATTTCTCGTCTAGGGGAAAGGAAGCATTAGGAAAAGCTCATTCCTTTCCGAAACGAGATCCGCGACATACAGGGACATACAGGGACACTCAACTGAGTGAGTGAATGAAAAGAAGCATTCTAGGATGCTCCTCAAGTAGATGGGCACTATGATTATGTTGCTCACGGTGGTCGTTTCTAATTTGAGCTACCAGATTCGATGTTCATAGTTGCCCCAGAACTAGCAGGCGAAGGTTGCGAGCAGGATTATGATCGCAAGGTCTTCAAGCACGAGGACGAACACGAGGACATACCTAGTGCTTTATCTATCAAGATGAATAGTCGAGTTATGGATACCAACAGCCCAGCTCTCACGACGCCATCTCTTAGCCAATTCCTTCTTGGAACAAGTTAATAGATGAACTTGAACTTCCGAAATAAAGATATGGGTAGTTGTTGTGGCACCTCTAATCGAAGGAGAAAGTGGCTGTATGGTGTTGCGTCGCCGCTTCGGGAGGACTTTCCTGATACTAGGCTTGTTGATGAGCAGAGTACAAAAGAGATCACTGGCCTTGAGGATGATCGCATTCTTGTGGGACGATGGGATTACGCTAGTAACAAAGTCACCTCGAGACCATGGACACATCTAATAGACTTTAGCATGGGAGAGAACAAAGCCGACACTTCTCAGTTTTATGATCATAATTTTTTTTGGTGAATTGACATCCAGTGACTCCCGTTGTGGCACCTGACTAGAAGCTTACTCACTACTGTGCCTCTTTTTAATGTAACGACACACGCAGTGCATTTAATAGAGCCTCGCGTTCTTCAGATGAGGTCTCATCAGATGAGGTAAGAGCTGCATTACTTAGATTCATGTAGTTCTCTTGCAGCATTTATCAATCGAATTCACATGTACTAGTTATGTAAGAGCACGAATTGAATAATGTTGCAGAGTAGTCATTCCCAATCAATACATAAAAATGTTGCACAGCTAATCTGTCTAATCTGGAAACGGCATCATGGAGAAGGTCGACTTCGTATACAGAAGAAGGCAGTGCTGGGCACGGAATTCGACCTTCTGGAACGGAACAAGTTAAGGTGGCTTACAACTTAGACTTACTTACTTTGAACTACAACCTAATCTTATATGATCATCTCTAGTGAATGTGATTCGCTGAGGCGGAGCAGTCACCTTGACGTGACAGCATCCTATCCTATCCTATCCTTTCCTATCTTGTGTGATAATGGATAACAAACAGGAAGAAATTTATTGAAGCCGGTAGTTATAACTTATTTCCCTCGTCTGACTCAGAGACTTGACTGAAGTCCTCTCTACATTCTAACTCCTTCGATATACAGACCTTGAAAAGTCCTAGGCTCAGCTTATTATTTCCCTCGTCGTCGTCTTTTTCTTCCTCCTTTCAATGACATCACAAGTACTCGAATACTCAAAATGAGCGAGTCACTGACTGAAATATGAGAGTCTTGACTACATTCTTCTTCTTTCAGTACAGGCTCCCTTATTTTAAGTAGTTACTCGCTTATTTCAGATAAGTGACGTGTTGTGGACTGTGTCTGAATGTGGACTATGGTTAAAAGATCACTTTCATCCGTTTGAAGCACTGGCAGGAGGAACGCAGACATGGCTTGCGGTTCAAAGGGCCGTGAATTTACGGCAATTTTTTGTGTCAGGCTAGCTTCTGAGTATGCTTTTCAGTTACTTGTAGGGTTTGGGATGACAAGAGGCGATAACCACGACCCACAAGGAGTCCTCCTTGGGGCTATACACCAAAGCGGAGCAGTCACCTTGCGTGGCGGCGAAGTAGAGACGCCCTATCCTTCTATCCTATTTACTTTTCAGTTACTTATAGGGTTTATGGTTCCAGCAACGCGTAGGTATCGGTATCCTATCGTATCCTCTCCTATCCCCTATTCTTTCCTACCTCAAATTTAATCTAATTACTGCAAGGATGAGCGTGTATGACGAAAAGGAGCGCATGGACCGTCGGTTGCAGCACGACGTTCATTATTTGCAGAAAATGATTTGCTTTTAAGAGAGTTCAGCCTGAACGTTCATTAATATTTCCTAGCCTTCATTATTTGCCTTTTTTAAAGATAGGAACTATTTCATTACTCCTCTCTTGTGGAGTCAACGCAAACGCTTGTGCGACGAGTATTGAACGAGTAATAATGAATGAATGAGTAAAGAGTGACTATCTGTATCTACTGAGGCGGTTTCCGTTTCTCTACTGTGCAAATATAAGTACTAATCAGACCAGTTCTTGGTCTGTGGAACTGCTGTTAGATGCCTATCTAATGGATAATGTACAAGGTCCGGAAATGTTGGGAATGCCGCTTGCAATTGATGTGGGAGAAGGAAAGAGAAAGAGCAAGCAACTCAAGCTGTACCACTAAAAAAAAAAGGAAGATCGAACGACGTACAGGTAGCAATATTAAGACTTCCGGAATAAATCTCCCATTTTGAAAAGCATCGATCTTGGACGACCTCCGTATAAAGAAGAAACAGGTCCAAGATCATGCATCCTCAAAGTGGGAGATGCATCTCAAAGGTCTAAGAATAAGGCGGGTTGTCAAAATGAGCCACCAACGTGGAAGATTCGAAGCGATTTGGAGACTTTTCTGCGGTACGAGTGCGGATTTCAGCGGCGAGGGGAGAGCACTGCACAATTAACGCGTGAAATGAACATGATTGAGAAGTGGTTGTTTACGTCTAGTCCTTCTGTGGAAAACGAAAGGGGAGTGGAGGGTCTTGCTCAGTATGTTAAGGCTACCCCTAGAGCATCCTTAGCATCATCCTTGGCCTCTTTTTCACGGGGAAAAAGAAGTATCTATCCGCCAAGGATGTCATGAGTCGCAAAGAGGAAGATGCGAACGCGGTAGCTCTAAGTATGTGCCTGAACCTGTCAGAAAATACTGGAAGGGCTTCGGCATTTTCATCAGAAAGCATGCTTGAGTGAGCGTAACGGGAAAATGGAAAAAAATCGTAGACTAGTTGCGCCTCCAGAAGTAGTTGCAAACAGCGCATGGATAGTATCTTCATCTTGATCTTCTGAGATTGAAAATGAAACCACGCATGGATATTCTCTGAGATTGATTGAAAATCAAACCACGCATGGATAGTATCTTCTGAGATTGAAAATGAAAGAATGAAAAAGTTTAAAGAAGATGGAACAACATTCGGTTCGTTCCTTGCTCTTTTTAAAGAAGATGGAACAACATTCGGTTCGTTCCTTGCTCTTCTTATACGAAGGTACAGGGTCGTAACTGAACTGCCTCAATTTCTTTAGGCAGGGCGGGTACAGAGGTAGCTGGAGATGACATACATTAGAAATTAAATGCAGTGACGATTTGATCATTCATGTAGCAAGGATGGCAATCAATCATCTCTGACCATGTGTCGGTGTCCATGTGACCTTTGTCAAGTGGCCTTCTCTGTGATTTCTGTCTGGGATCTACTGGGAACACGCAGTTTCATCTAAATCGTTGGTAGTCAAATCGTTCACACTTCATATGCAGCCATGATCGGTGTTCTCTTCGTCAATTGTACGCTTGACGGTGGGGACTCGCTGAATGTTGAATGGTACTCGTAGTCGTACATATATAGAATCCAGCGGAAAAATGTTGTGCTTTCCTCTATCATCGGTCGTACATCATATAAAGAATGGTGAATGTAGTTGTGCTTACCTCTATCATCGGTGACTTCTGCTTCTCCTGTACCTGTCTCCATCTCGTCGGTACGAAACTTGTGAAGATCTGTCATTTTCGGCCTTATAAGTTCTGTGATGATCCTCGCCTCACGAAATGACAGGCTTCGTCGGAGAATTGAAGTCAAAACAATCAAAACGAATACCTTTTCCACTCCCAATGAATTTTAAGCTAAAACTGTTAGCCGTCTTAGCTCTCTTTCATTGAACTGCTTTTACTGGCAGATATACGAAACAATGACTGATGAAGGGGACTCGACTTCCCATCGTCTGGTGCGAGTTTCGGACCACCACCAGAGTCCGACTTCTTATGGCCGTGTGCGTGTTAGGAGCCAGAGTCCGACTTATCATGGCCCTCTGCGGGTTGCCGGATACCTGAGCCCGGTGTATCATGGCCGTGTGCGGGTTGCTGGAAGCCAGAGTCCGACTTATCACCGCCCTGTGCGGGTTGCTGGAAGCCAGAGTCCGACTGAATACCGCCCTGTGCGGGTTACTGGAAGCCAGAGTCCGACGTATCATGGGCCTGTGCGGGTTGCTGGAAGCCAGAGTCCCACGTATCATGGCCCTGTGCGGGTTGGGTACCAGAGTCCGACGTATCATGGCCCTGTGCGAGATGATATGGTGTCGGAATCGGAAAAGAATTCGCCATTAACGTCGAACCATGCTCACAGACAGTTGGGTGTGTACCAGCGCCCGCCTTTTTCACCGCTTTGTGCAGCAAAGGAAGAAGACTGCTGTGCCGAACCTCGAGGCCGAACCCGCATAAGAACCACTACTGTTATGACTGGTGCTTCAATCTAGTCCTTCTACAAGTGTAATTCTTCTACAGCATGATAGTTGCCAATATCATTACCACGTTTCTATGAGTATCAAGAACTAGAATAGACGGATCCTACTTAGCTTGGCCACTACTATAACTAGGGGAGTTGCTCCTCTGGACCCCACGTGGCAAATATAGTGGGCTAGGAAGTTCCTCCTTACTGCAACAAGATTTTTTTAGCTTCCTTGACTATTTTGAAAACGAGAAAGAGAGAAGAAAAACACTCAAGCAGCTTGAGAGGCTCAAAGAGTTGCAACGTCGAACGCGAACGAGAATAAGAGTGAGCGCTGTTTTTTGTTGTTGTGGCATTTTTTTAAGATGTGAAAGCCTTTACGCGTGTACAGTAACCCGAGGCCATACCTGGCTCAGCCC